ATTCAAGACTACTGAAACATACAGCTTTATATCACGGCAAAGATATTAAACACCGTAAATAAAATGAAATTCAGAAACTACAGTCATGAAACAAAGCACTCGATTGCGATCTCACACAAACTGTACTCGTGCTGAATTTTAAACGTTTTTATTGGCAGGTGGTTTGGAAAGGCACCACTAAATTGGGATGTGCGATTCAGAAAAGAGGACGGGAAACCTACATAGTGGCACGCTATTCCCCACCAGGAAACGTTGTAGGTACTGGCACGTTCGCAAAAAACGTGGGACGAAAGGTACATGTATGTTGATATAACAGTGATAAACTCGCTCATCTTAAAGGACATTGTACTTGCACTTATACTGAGGTCTATTTAGGTCGTTGATATCCAATCGCGAAAACAGAAAACTACCTTAGAATGAGCTATGGAGGAAGCCTTTTCTACAGTAAAGCTTTAGAACCCTAAAATGAACTGGAAGACGAGAGAAAGAGTTGTTTTGTGTTATTTGCCTATCCAAAGTGATTTAGCAACTAATTTGTAGGTCAAAATTTTTATCAATAAACTAGAAATCTACACATAATGATGATGACAGTAATTTGTTTTTTCATTCTCAATATGTAGAATCGTGGTTGACCTAAGAGGACACAATAAGGAAATGCGCCCGATCGACTGTGATCATTGGACACAGAAGGGCGGAGGCAATTTTCAGTATTGTTAGTAGATGTAGACAAAAAGCTCAATAAAAGCTGTGGTAGAATTGACTAGCCGTTAATTTTTTATTATTAAAAGCAAACGTTTCGCCTCTAAAAGGCATATGGGTTAGGAACGAAAAAAGAAAGTCGGCTCAGAAAGTTGAGGCAAAACTGGGAAGAAGGGGCGGGGGGTGTTAAAGAGAGCCCATGAATCAGTTGAGACTACCGCCCTACTGATATCACCCCTGAGTCATATCACTGAATGTTGACAAGTTTAATTATGTGATAACGATAACGACCACTTATTACAAGTATCTTTGTACTCTAAATACCTTCTGTCCCGATTGTGCTCGTTAAATGCTTGAAGGTTGCATGCTCACTGGAATGCCAAAAAGTTGCTAAATGATTGCCAAAAATCCAAGAGCGGCTACCTAAATTTCAAAAGTTGCTATTTAAATTTCTTGATATTTTTAATTATAAAAACATTAATCGTCCCTCGCAATAATTGCTGACATTGGTCAGTAAAAATAGCTTGAAACTTAAAGAGTTGCTCGCAAATATGGGTGAAATTTAAGGCCAGATGCTCTTAAGTCTGAGGTTTCTTGCTTTGAAAATCATTTGAATAGAGCGGTTTTCATTTGAGTGTCGAAAAGTAATTGGTTTTGCACTTTCTACACGATGCGATTGGCTTAAAAGATTCGCGCCACCTTTTCATCCAATCAGAAGTAAAACCAAAGCCAATTGTGACGCGCTCGCACGATTTTCCCGCGCTTTGCGTCAGCCACATGTAATTACTTCGAGTTTTGATTGGTTCAATGTATTGTCTGTGTCCTATGTGATTGGCCAGAGTAATTACTTTGGTTTTGGTTTTACGACACTCAAACGAAAACCACTCTAAATACTGGTAATGATTGTGTCAAACTAGAATTGGACTCCTTGCAATGCTTGCTTTTCTTCTTTTGGATAACGGAAGGTCGTCAAAACCCTGTTCCTGACTGTCAGAAATTTCAAACTCTGTTGCCTGAAAGACGTGGAAAGAAAAAACATTTGTTGCTCGTAAATATGCTTCTATTTGAATCGAGTTTCTTTTCTTGTTTGTTAGAAAATCATACTGACCTCATCTTTCATTGATATAGCTCTCTTGACACTTCTTGGCTCTCCTTGCTTTTTCGCCAACTATATTAAAACATAAATAAATTAAAAAATGAAAATCAGTCAGGCTGATTTTTTTAAATATATAGTTTCTTGTTTTCCAGTTACATCACGTTGTTTGCCTTTACATGCAAGTCTGGATTTTACCTATAATGTTCCATATACAAGTCTCAAATTGTTCGAAATGTTTCGTTCCTTTCGGTCTTAGAATCAGCGCTTACATTGCTAAAAACAAATAAAGACACATCTTTGGATACGACTCTTAAGAAGCCTACCATCACGAACCAATGGCATGGCAAGTCCGTTGCTAGTCACTCTCCTAACCTGCGTGGCAGGCGTAAAAAGGGGAGGGGTAGGTAAGGGGAAAGAGTTAAAATCCCCTCCGCATTCTCCTGCTCCCCTACCTCTTTCGACGCCTGCCGCGCAGTCTATTTACACTCGGAAAAAGAGAGAAAAAGACAGAGGAGAAGCTTATAGACGAATCACCTTCTTGGACAACTGCTTTTTTCCGGATACATCCATCTTGGAACACTGCTGAGTTATGTTCTCTAGCTGTCATTAAACAGAAACGACGTTGTTGTAATCAGACCGTTTAAAATCATATGAACAATGGAGAAAGATCATGACATGTTTAATGAGACTACTCTAGTTAGTTGTACATACTCCATCCACTGCCTTTTTTTCTTGTTGGACAGCCGCCTGTGAAGGCTCAGCAGATTCTAGTTCTGCAATTCTTTTTCTGAAATACTTCTGGAAGCCCTCTGACTGCAGTTTCTTTTTGTTGACAACTTTTCCAAGCCTGAAAAGTGAACAAACTTCGGCTAATCAATTGAAAATATTATACCGTTAAAAGACGCAGCTTATATGCTCTCGTGCTTTTGTTAGGGCGCGTTTCATCGGGGCTTTCACAGCACTGAAGACGCGGGGTCCTACGTATACTTTACAGGCCCGCAGGGATGTCAAGGGATTACCTCCCTGTAACAGGCCAGAAAATGAATGACACACTCTGAATTAATAATAGTTACCTCTTTCCTTTCAGAGTGCTTCTTATATATCCTTCTTTCTCCAAGCGTTTAACCAGACCTTGTGCGGTGCTCATTTCTATATCTAAAAGCGTCATCCGTGAATGAGTATCAATTTTTACAGTGATTAAAATGTTTGTTTAATCCAATCAAACTGGAATAGTTGTAATAACTGAGTATTTACTCACTGAGAGAGCGTGCCAAAGTAGTGGGCAGTATCCTGTTCAACTCTCTACAGGCAAGTAAGGTTCTTCTCCACAGACAAGTAGCCTAACATTTGATACAACCGGTTCATTTAAAAAAATAAACATAAATACAACGGTTCAAACTAAATGTTGGACCAGAAATATAAAATAAAGATGCACTGCTAGTCTTTTTTACTCGTATGCCGCTTATACTCCATTTGGTAGCACACTCAACCACCTACTCGTGCTAGAGAAATTGCTAAGAGTTGTCAGTACAAGCCGCTGGCAGACCCCTGTAGCCGTTTGCAAAGCGCATTTAGTCATAGTTACTACAGCACATTTTAATTTAAAAGTGAAAGAACAGTCCGGCACTGAATGATTATTGAACACCTGCACTACCCTTATGGCCGACAGTAGAATAATGGTACTTTACAGTGGTTAAAGGGACAAAAAAAGAACTAATGATAAGTTTAATATATATATATATATTTTTTTTTCACCTGTAGGGCAATATTGTTAAGGTTGGCCAAAGAAAGATCCGTACATTTACCACTGTATTCACCCTAAACAAAGGTAAAAAGATAGTCTATGTTAAACGTTGAAGATACTTGCTAAACAAAAGGCAACAACGTTCAACCTTCGCTGAGAGTCTTACCTTGGCACAATCAACACAAACATGAAATTGTGGCGCCTCTTCCTGCTTTAAGACATCGAAACACACAGCGTGCTGCCAGGTATCACAAACTCCACAGAGTATCATCAAGCCTTCATCCTAAGTTGGAAAAGTTCTACCTTAATCAAGTTCTCAGAGTTGGAGCCGAGGCATAAAACCGTACCATATTAACCCAAAACCTTACCAGTGCAAGGTTTTAAGCAGTCGATCGAGTGAGGAGGCAGGGGAAGGATATTATTGATTGCCAACCATGAAAATGAGCCTGTCCTAAGGCTCTCTGAAATGAATTATCGTTGGAGGACTTTGCCGCAGCATTACACAGTCATAAAAGAAAAACATTTGTTCTCCCTCTGATATGCGCGGTCACAGCGACTTGTCAATTGAAAAAATATATTGTGCAAAGCTAAGAAAGAAGTAGTCTTTAAACGTCTGTCATACCTCATCATCTCCGCAGGGGCACTTGACTCGGTTTTCCTGCTCGATATCCTCTGCTGGCTGATCTGTTGGGTTTATTTGATGAAAAGAATATTTTAAACTGTTCAAACAATGATCGACGGTACGAATTTTAATTGTCGATTATAAACGTCATGAAAAAAATAATAAACAACTAAGCAAAAGCGAATAAGAAAAAGCATGCAACATGCTGTACCTGCATGCACTTTGTCGCAATCCATATCTTCCATTTCTAAAACAAGGATAAAAAATCGCCCCTTATTTTTTAGAAAGTCTCGATTCATGGGGAGGAGGGGAGGAAGGCTTCCCCCTCCTATACCTCTCTCTTAGAGCTTTATCGCACAAAATAAAAAAAATCTAACCACCACGAGAGTGAACGAAATCAAAGTACAATAAGTAGTGTTATTACCTCCCTTCTTCTCTGTAATACCTCCTTTTTCCTGGTCATTCTCAACTGGTGACTAAAAAGGAAAATAAAAGGATCATTCTCGTATAAAGCTAAACGAACATGAAGCCACTGGTATTACCTATGTTTAGAGCTCATTAGTGAGATATGATGCGACTATCATCATGATCATGCCAGATATCAAGGCTGTCGACTGGCTTTGCCGACAAACATAAAACAAGAGTTGGTTATAGCAATCAATGTTCTGCAAATCAAAACATGTTAATTTTACAGTAAGTCATATACCAGGGAAACTCGCACACACGCGTATGCCTACGTCATTTGTTACTATCAGTCTCAGCAGTCTCTCATCCTAGTTGACCTGGACATAGATGAATAAACACGACGTTTCATAATAACTGGAGTAAGCCTGGGCAAAACACTTCTGATCGACATAAAGTAATCAGCAATACCTTAGTTTGATTCGCTTGCTCGGGAGCGAGATCTGGTGAATTAGTTTCATTTGAAGGACTGCTTACAGGTTCCAGATCAATGTTATCGGCTTGTTTGTGATTTTCCTCAATGACGTCCTCTTTCATGTCAAACTGCTGGCAGTCCGTTTTAATACGCAGCTTTACTCTGTGAAGGTAGAAAGGGTATAACCTAACACTTGCTGAAGTAGTGTAGTAGATCTCATGATACTGACACAACTCACTTCGTTTTAACTTAAATACTTACGTATGAAATGGCTGCAGATGTTTCAAAACCAGAAAAATACATGAAAGAAAGGAAGAGAAAATAGTGTCAGGACTGAAACAGTACAAAGATACCCAGATAGTATTGCTTTGAATTAGTCACACTAGCATAACTGTAAGTATAAGGGAAAAAAATCTGTTTTAACAACCGGTTATCTTCGTGGCATATCCATTTTAACTAACAGCCACCTCTCCTCAACGGCCACTTTTTTTCGTCCGAGCGGACAGTCCATACATGGACTCTTGTTTACCTCTCTACAACGTGACAACGGCCACCATAGCGCGTCCCAAACTGTCAAAATAAACTCTCGACAACGGCCAGTTTTTTCAGCGAGTGACGAATGAAGTCAGGAATGGCCATTAAATTTGATCCATGGCGCGTTGATGATCGTGGCTATCGTTTTGATTGTGTCTCATTTAATACTGTTGCAGTAAGCATAAATTGTCTACGATAATTATAGCGAATGTTGCGAGCCTTACTCTTTTGGTAATGTTAACGTTTTGATTAAAAAAAATTATTTAAGTTTTGTATGTATTTTAGCTCTATACATCCTTATTGTGAGTGGATTACCATTATGGGATACAGTAGGTATGAACTTGGCACAATTAACCCTTTAAACCCTAAGATCAAAATTTGAATTCTCTATTCTTGGCTTGCACTGTCACGCAATGAAAAATAAAAATGCAAACCATTCAATATAGAAGGACTAGAATCTGGGAAATAAAAAAAGATAAATATACAAAAACCCTTGCCAAGAATCAGGTCTGTGAAATATTTCAAATGCGAGATATTGGGAAAAACGGTTTACTTAAATTTATAAAGCTTTGTATGGAAACACCATGTTGGTGTCCCTTTCAGGAACACCAATATGGCCGCCGGATACCAACTGTTTTCTAGTTTTCCTACTAATGCGTGAATTCTTCGCTTGAGGAACTCATACAGATTACAGTAATATTTATTCTGAGACAAGGAATGTTTACATTGCAAAATCTCCCAAAATCGGTTATGTTTTAACCCACGTAAGAGCTTTCCCAGCCGCCATCTAAATGCCGCGTCACGCAAAAGCCTTGGAATTCAAGAGTCCTCTCTCGCAAAACGAAGAACCCTTTCGAACCAAAAACTTTTTTATGTAAAGGTGTTTAGGTACTGTAATACCTCGTGAAAGTAGAAACTCAGAAGAATCGATAGTTTCTAAGTTTGATTTTTGGTGACGTCACGTGCAACCCAAGAATTGTTGACCCTATTCATTTCCTACAGAAGTAGTGAGGAGAAGTTGATAAAATATCAAGCAAATTCATCTTGTGTGATCATGTCCATAATTCTCATGACCACTCTGTTTCACAAAGCATTGATATTACAAGGAGAAATTTGATGCTGATCACTCTTCGCGCTTAAAGGGTTAACATGTTGTACTTCCCTAACTAAATTCGTCACATTGACGGCTACCTCCCCATAACGGCCACCTCTCCACAACAGCCACGGTCATTGTTCTGTTCCCAAGGTGGCCGTCGCGGAGTGGTTTGATTGTAGGAAGTTTTAACTAGAAAATAAATCCTGAATCTGAAGGCGATGTTATCTGCCCCCAGTTTCGAGAACGTTTGTTGATATTCTGAATTCGTAATAAATGAAAACAACATACCGTTGATACATCTCCAACTTTAATATTCAAAGGCTCGTCTACGAAATTGAACTCATCGTTCGACGTGTGCTAAATGAAATTTAATAGAAATAGTATTTATTACGAACAATTTACTTATGAATATAAGTGAAATACATGTCAAATGCATAAATACCTTGAAGCCTGGTGGTTCATAATCAGGGGGTGTAACTAGTAAACAACACACTGACGTTAGAATTGTTGTTGTTGATAACTAAATAATACAATGGTGAATATACGTCACAGTGAATGTTATCAGTAAAAACAGGAAAGATAATAGCCCATAGCTCCTGTAGTATACCCGGCAAAACACTTAACCAGCGAGGGACCATGAAAATTTGGTCATATCAACGGGTTTGCGTCATATTAAGACACTTATGGCTCTTATGACCGAGTGACAAGTCTGATTTTATTTTTACTATCTGCATGATATCACGTATATCAGCGTTAGTTTAATGCAAAATTGGGAACTTTAATAAATTAAGATAAAAGGCGATACGTTGGGTTAATCATTACTTTTCATTCAGACACCAAGCATGATGACCATTTGATTTATCGTTTGATGAACGAGGCTAATCCAAGTGGAGGTCGTGATAACGGTGTGGTCGATGCGAAGGGCCTTCACAGTAATAACGATATATCCATAAGGAAAAAGTGCTACTCAAAAACCTGCAAACGTAACATACAACCCACAAGGAAAGCCAGCGCCAGACAGTTTTACTCACCCTCGTCATAGTACAGCAATTTCATTGTCATCATTACGTCATCTAAAAAAAGCATGAGGTTCTTAAAATCTGTGAAAACTATAACAGTCACACTGAAAACACAAAATCAGCGTACCATTGGCATGTAAGGGACATTTTTATTTAGTTACTGTATTGCTTTCTATTGTTTTAGGTCACTGGCTATGTTGTTAGGTCTAATCAGAACAAAAAAATTATGGAAACTTCTCTTTTAGTTTCTTACTACTTTGAGCAAAAGAGTTGGTCTATGGCATGCGCTTTTGTTTCGTTGAAAAAAGCATTAGGACTTACCTGGCAGTGAGGACAGAGTTTGACTGAGGAGAATGATCGTTCTGTAAGGAAAATGCAATTATTCCTTTAATTACTCTCCAATTCTTTTGGCTGTACTAACCATGGCCATTTACTGTTTCAGTCATTGACATTGTAAAGAGTGTCGACTCCGTTGCTTTTATAGTTTACTCAGGAGCTCTTTAAACAAATTTTTCCTGGCCACGAATCCACTAAAACGGGCTATATAAGGTAAAAGACATACCTTAGCAAGCGTATCGTTGCCTTTTTAGTATCTCTTTCTGTGTGGGCACTTGCGATTTTATTTCCATTCCTAAGCACAAGAAAGAACAAAAGCAGTTAAAGCCTTGACGCACTTTTTATTTTGAAAAACAAAAGTTTTTTTAAAAGCAATATTATTTAAAATACCTGAAGATACTGACTTCCTTGTCCATGTAAGAAAACTATGGAAGAAAATAATAATTGAGTTTAATTCTTCACCGACAGCATAAAACCTGAACAGGGTTCATGATATGCTTCTGGTTATATATACGCGCGGGAAATTCAAGAACACAAGAAAATTGCTAGAGAAGCAAGTGCCTCAACCACTTCTCTAGTGTTGTTAAGAATTGCAAAGTGTTTGTACCGTGTGGCACGAAATTTTTGCGAGAGTTTATTTTTTTCGGATTGGTATTTTTTGCTGTTGTTTTGCGGGAACTAATTTTTGCGATCAGGACAGATTGGTTTTTCTTGCTGGGAATTAACTTTTGCGATTTTCAGAAAGTAACCAGTAACCAGTAACCATTGACAGTATTTTCGGTTTGATTGAGTACGTGCAATAGAAATGCATATTTTCAAACAATTAGACGGTGTGCGTCAGCATTTCATTGAATACCGCTATGTTTCTGAGCGAAAGAGACAAGTTGTAGTATGAAAGTAGTAGTAGTATGATTTAAAGTAGAGTAGTATGAAGTAGTACGATTTCAAAGTAGTACGATTTGTATTGGCCGCCATGTTAGAGGGCATACTCTTGCCCTCCAACATGGCGGCCAAAAGTAACGTTTGATAGTTACTCTCAGATGTGCTGAAAACGTTACAACATCATCTTTTCAACAATTTCCTTGAAGTTTGAGTGCAAAATTTCTGTTCAGAAAGAAGTAATTCATAGTTTTAAAAATCACATTTTGGTCATATGACCAGCTATGGACTCATTTCAAGAAAATGGTGTGGGTTTGAAAAACTAAAAAACTATTATTTTGTTTAAGATATGACCCACTAATGGCTTTTTGAAGGCAAAATCATATAACTTTCATTTTCATAAAAATAATGTCACATGACCTTTTAGTGCAAATGGCCAATACGGGCATCAAAGGGACAGAACCGAGTGTCCGGTTTACAGAGGTGTCCATATTATAGAGGTAGGGAATGTATGATTTTTGGCATTTCTGGGACCAAACGAACTGTCCATAATAGAGAGGTGTCTGTATTATAGAGATGTCCGTAAGGAGAGGTTACGCTGTATAGGCTAAAACAGATCTTACCTTGAATGTGTAGGACTCTATAACAGTCTACATGTTAAAAGAAAAAAAAAACATTATAAATTCATCAAAATAAGATAACTTAAAGCCACACCTGTCAGAACTTGAAAGCCTTGTATACTGTTATGTTTCCTCGAAAAGAAAGACAATCGTATCTCTGCTATTGATATATTTTCTGTGAAATCTGTCATTATTCTTTGTTATTATCATCAAGTACAATAGAAAGGTATTACTCACATCAGGGTCCTCTGCATCACCATAAATCTGTTTCAAACAAAATAAGCACTCAAATTTCACTTAATTCTACAAACTTCAAATTAGACAGATCAGGGCAGAGTTGACCTTATGCAAATTAATACTTACCCCAATTACTATCATCCGGAGCTGCAAGGGCAAGAGAAAAGAATAAAATAAGACTTTGCATAAGTACATAATTTTGCAAACTGTTACAAGGCATTGTCAGGAGCCCATAATCCAGAGCAAGCAGCCCTGATCTGTTGTGCCCATGCAACTGAAGGCTAGAAAATAGTATTTCTGATGCATCTACTTTTTCTTTTTGTTCATCATACCATGAATTGTACTGCATGGTGCTTTTACTTCCACAAAAAAAGGGACTAAAAAATTATGTGAAAAATGAACTGGGCCCAGTTGTTCGAAGGCCGATTAGCACTAACTCAGGGTTAAATTTTAACCTGGGTTTCTTTTTTTGTTGTTCAAAAGCATTTTCCCGCATAATTTTCTCCATTCTTTTTAGAGCATCCAATCATTAGATTGTAGGTAAAAAGGATAAAACTGAATTTGCTTTTTAAGCTTTCATCTCTAAATTCAAATTTCGCACTAACCTTGGATTATCTTAACCCTGCTTTGAACACTGAACCCGGCCCTGATCTGTGAAAATGCTGTTGCATGGACTAAGTATCAGGTTATGAGCTCCTTGAATTATTAACTGAAACATCAGTAAAAACTTACATATTTCTTATCAAGAGCATCAAAGCAACCTTTTATCCTGTTTAACAGAATATATAAAAACATACAACAACATTACCACTGATAATATGTATTTATTTATCAAAAAATATAGAATGCATAAGTGTGACTTCACTGAATCAGCTGCAAGTGTAAAACTCTGTACAAAAGTGGTGAGTTGTTAAAAAGGTGGATTATGATAGCCACTCGTTAATTCTCTATTTATAATGGTAATTGAACTGAGTGGAGTGCTATTTGGTCTGAAATCATACAAGTGATTCTAGAATTGGATGAGCACGCAGTGCAAGTTCAATTTGAAATCACTAGTATGATTCCAATGAGCAATGCAATCAGTTTTCCTTAAACTCATCAGGTGTATAATGACTTATCCAGTGAATAGTGCTATCCACATTGCAACATTTAAACATTAACCTGGCCAGATCTATAAAAGTCATTACTTTATTGAGAGAGCCACATGGAACTTAATGTACACAAAATTCACAGCAAAGTTGCCATAAACTGAAGACAATACATAAATAATGATGTTGAAGGTATTTGAGGCTGACATTCAGGGCAGCTATAGTAACTGCAGAGGTATATGTCAATCCAGTTGAAAAAAGGTAGGCTTACTAGGCAAGGTAAAAGACCTAGGTGTGTTGGATCCTTATGATGTGGTCATGGGTTTATGATCATATAATTCAGATCTATTAACAACCACACACTCAATATACATGTCCAGCAAAACTCTTCAGTACGTAGTTGTAAGAAATTTTACCAGGGTGATGGATTTATATGCTACCAGTCTTTATCAACTGATGCTAAAAAATACTACCAGAGTCTTTGTCTGGCCTACTGAAATTATATTATAAGCTGGACAAGTTTGCATATTACACAGCTGCATTGTGTGTGTCGGAAAAAATATGTATTTATCCTCACCACTGTATCACTTGGCATGCACCTGGGCAAGCGCTGTCATCTTTAAGGATTTTCAAATTCAGATCTGCATCAAAAGCACAAAAAAAATGTCTTAGCCAACTGATATAACCCTATCACTGAGTATTTTTAACGCTGGATGTCAGTATCTATTCAATACTAATAAGTTCAGGTTAAAAAGTGGTTCCACGTTCACTGACTATATGTATTTCACTAAGCTGAGTGATGACTGGTACCTTCTAAGCATCTGTCTCCAAACGCATGTTCTGGAAATATGGTTCTACCGAAAAAAGAAAAAACTCAGACACACCAGCCTTAAGAAATTACCAAATCTACTATTTTCAGTAAAACTTAACCTAACCAATTTTAATAAAATAATAGACAATAAAAACAACAAGTAATTCTTACCTGAGATAAGTTATACTTGAAACCTGAAAACAAATTTAAATATTTCGTGGTTCAGAAATCAGAATATAACTCAAAAAATTTAAGAAATTAAATTAAAAACATTTGGTGATCTGTTCCTCTGTATATGTACTTACAGCAACTGCAAGAAGCTTCTTCACAAACAAAGCTGATTGTTGCTCTGTCACTTGTTGAGAAGGAAAAATACTTGACCACTAGAAATAAAATAGGAAAATATTTTTTAATCATGAATAAAGAAAAATAAACAACAACGACTTGAGTTTCTTGCGTTTGATTGCAAGTTAACCACCATTTTGAATAAGAAGTAGATTTCAGTCCCTCCCGGTCACAGTAACAAAGTATTTCTGTGGAGAATTTTTCACGAAATGTAAAAATAGTTTCTCTTAAAAGGCTTACACTAACTGTCTTTTCTTGCTCTCTTATCGCCTGGGCAGTTGCCATCTCGTCTCCTTCAAGTAAGCTATGAAAATTATGACAAAACAAAAGCTTCTAAGCTTTAAATGAAAAAGAAAAAAAAACTGTCGTCGCCGCTGACAAAGGCAGCTTAAAAAACAAATCAAGTTGTTCTTTCAGTAAATCTTTTCTAAAGCATCTTTTCGATAAACATGAATACTAAAATGTGCAAAGCGAAGAAAAAAAAAATCGCAAACACTAGCACTGGTCAAAGAGCGCAAATCAAATCTTTAACTCACTCTACGACTTCATAAAGTTAAGCTTGTTTTATAAAACCAGAAACTGTTGCTGATGAAACGAAGTCTAACTTAGACCGCGGTTTAGGAAATCTTTGGACCTCCAGATCTCTCAGTCCTTAGAGGGTTGTTTTAAGGAGACAAATGATTTTCTAGTCTAAGCCATATGCGTTCATGAAATTGTTCACGATAAATGCTACTTAAATTAAGCGTTCGGTAAACTGAAAATGGCCCAGAACGAGGTTTTGTTATTCATTAAACCTGGCTAAACTGGCCCAGTGTTCTTAAAATACTTTTCTTTCTTTTTTCCATAATCAACCAAAAATTTGAAAGAAAACTCCAAAAGTCATTAACTTGTTACTTTTAGCTTTTAAATAGCTTTGTTGCAAAGTTGCTTTCAAAGAGCTTACCTCGGATTCGTCGCTTTTCTGACCCTTTTCTTACTATTTTTTCTTCGTCCAGTCCTGTCTCTTCTAAAAAAATTCCAAAGGAGTATTTCCAGAGGAACTTGCCTTTTCTGCTTGAGCCTGAGCGCTATGAAAAATGCTCTAACAAAGAAAGAAAAAAAGCAAAGAGGAACCCAACAAAGTGATCGACAGAAGAAGCTAAAAAAAGCACGATCAAAAAATAAGTCGTAAAGGGCGGGAAATCATTGTGCAGCCGCGCGTTTTGGCGGCAAAAATGTGCGAAAATGAAAGTTGGCCGAAAAGAGTCCGAAAGAGTCCGAACGAACATTCTTTCCGCCCGAACATTTTCGGCGGCGAGAGAAACGATTGTACAGAAACATAGGAAAAAGGTTTCCGACACTCATATACTTTTTGGAGGAGAATCTAAATTATTGCATGTAATTGCTATAATCTGTACGTTATGATATTTGGGTTTCAAGTTGCCAGAATTGAAGTTCTTAAAATAAACTTTAACTTATTAAGTATATTCAGCGAACAAATTAAGAGATCAGACCATGCGTCAAGTGGACGCTTTAATACAAGAGGTTAAAAACAATAGAAAATTACAAAACCGTCAGCCCCAAAAGTGATCGCGGTCGCCTGAGAGGTGGTCGTTTACAAGAGGCTCTAATTATAGGGCTTTGACTGGGAAGATTTAGGTGTTTTTGGATGGGTGGTCGCTTATGGGAGGTGGCCGTTTACCAAAGTTTGACGCACATGGACAACTGTATATGTTGTGGTTCAATTTCATCCTTGGTTTAAATTTTATTTTCCTGTCAGTTCAAAGTCAGGATCAGGCGCAGATCCACATCGATTTCCATCGATTTACGGAAATCGGTCCGGTTTTCATGATAAATATATTTTTAATAACTAGTAATAAGCGAAGGTTACGGAGTGCGGGCGACAACGATCGAAGGTCAAAACGCTTTCGCTCCAGCGCTGTGCTTTGCGTAAGTTTCACGTGGCAGAAAGTCAAACCACGCGTGAACAGATTACGAGTGATAGAAGGTTCAAACTCGCGTTATCAAATTATGTGCATTTCATACACTCTTAGTGGAGGTCCAAACAAATTGCTGGATGCGACGTATTCGTAATAACAACCTGGGGATTAGGATTGCGGGCTCCTCTTGTCGCCCGCAATTAATAACACTTTCTAAAATATCTTGTCTGAATGACTCGGAAACCCAGGAAAGGGGACTTTAAGGAGCTAAAATCCAAAAAATGTCCTGGGGGAGCCTGCCCCCGGACCCCCTGGAGGCTTGCACCTTCGGTGCTCCTTTAGGAAGTCGGTCAGTATATTTCCTAGATCCGCGCCTGATGATCATCCATTACAACTCAAAACAAAGGGAAATGAAATTTAAACCAAGGATAAAGTTGAACTACAACAAATACACTGTCTGTTATTAGCAAACGTTAGTAACAGCGAACATTACATTGTCCTGGGGCTATTCTGTGCGTTCGCATTGCAACATTCTTAGCCCGGGCGGGATTCTTAGCCACGGACTGAGTCCACTATTTCAGGAAAAAATGTCCGAAAATTCTTTTTTATCAGTCGAGCCTTAAAAAAATGTTTCTTCGAAGCGCAAAAGCTGGCCGTGGAATCGCGGGGAATTTTAGACCTCCTGACGAATAAGGAATTCGAAATTGTTCGAGGCACGTCGTAAAAATCGCAGATTTTTTTTATGTGGGGACTATAGAGTTAGTCAGTTGGTTTTAGATGGGATGGTTCATTACCGAGGGTCCCAGAATTAAATTGTGATACGACATTAACCCGCGGATCTTGGCGTATTTTAATTTACAACTTTAAATTGGACAGGTACGTAGTTTATACAGCGATACTTGACAGCTATAAATTGTGTTTTTCTTGTGCGAATTTTAATAAATTTTTTTGGCTACATTGATTCAACTCCACATTGTAAACCTTTTCCTGCGGAAATAATCAAGAAAAACACTAGACGAAAAAAGACAGTGACACACATTTGAGATCGTTTCAAATGATTAAACAAAAAACTTACAATGACATGACAGTTGCATTTTAAATTACAGTTTCATAGTGATAAAGATAAAAAAAAAAAAAAAACGAACTAGCTGACTCTATAGACGAAATAATATACTGCAACATTTTCGAGATTTCCAGTGTACCATAAATCGGTTGAGCGCCGTTTCTTCCTGATTATATACGTGGTTTAAGGAACGTTGATCTTTAACTTTGAAAACTGAAACGAATTTGTTTCTGAAATATTGAGAGAAAATTGCGTCTCTAAACCTCTAGCAAAATGTCAGCTGGGTCAACCTAGCATAAAAACTTGGCCACTGGCCGTAATGCAGACACTGAATAGCTTAAAGCAATAGTTTAATGTAGAGTTTTTTGTTTCGCTTTCTTTCTAACGTACTGGTTATCCCAAAAGGCAAGAAACAGCTGGTTTTCGAGCTCAACATGTCAAATAAGGTATAATCAAACCGAAACTGAAAAACGAATTATGCAGATAAGGAAATTCTTTGTTTTAGTAATAGCAAACGCCTGACACAAAACAATACGCTGATTCTAGCCTATTCTAAAAGTTGTAAAAGTGCCTTATATTGTGGATTTTAATTGGTTCTTTCTCAGTGAAGCACAACAAAATAATTAACAACAACCTGTCAGTATGAATGCGTTACACGCCTTAGTAAACGTATGCATATGCATATAGGCTGCACAGTGGTACGCCTTGGCAGATAACAGAGTTCGCTGTAAACACGGCGTGAGACATTGCCCTAATTCGCCCATCCTTTGTGCAAGAAATCTACGAACTGAAAACAATCTGTCGATGATATGTGTGGCATCAAGTGTATCAAGACACTTCTTTTCGTTTTCAATTTCATCTTTTGGGTATGTGTATGTTTTGTTAGTATTAATACAATAACATTTCCTTGTCGAGCTGAAATTTAGAATACCACTTTAAGAATATTTAACTGATTTCACAGTTTGGCTGGTTGATAAGTCCGCATAGTTTGTCAGGAAGTTTTCATCTATAATTCTTCGGCAGATCTGTCGATTTCCTTATTTCAATAACTGAATTCACAAGTCGAGAGTTCTTCATATTCCGCTCTGTCTGTCGACTTGTATATTAAGGATTTAATGAACAGTTCGCCGAATCAATCGTAGAATGAAAAGGTGAAATGCAAGAAACATGAACGATTGATTTTCAGTTGGTCTTTTACCTGACGAATGCAGGAAGTTTAGATGGTTGGTCCTAGTTCCCCACATCCATAAAAGCCCAGCTCGATCGTCGCTCGGCACGCGTGAGATTTACTTCAAGTAACTCTAGCTTATGTGCATATGGAAAACATTTCACTACAACACATTTTAATCAACGATAGGTTTACAATAAGTTTTAGTAAACAACGGTGGTTATTTTACAAGTGTTTTCATATGTGTAAACAATTTTTTGGAGAAGAATTTTAGTTACCATCTGAATAATACTTATCGTAACAATTGTGAGATGAAATCGTAAGGAAGGACGCTTCCGTGACATCATAACATGATGCCTAAAAAAGAAAATGTCAACATTGTATGCAAACTCCTTTTGTGGCCTTTTGACTTTGCCATGTTGTAATCCTCCTTTTGCGTTACATTTCTAACAAACAGTGCAAAGCGTTTGATTTTTTCTAACCTGATAAAAGTAACGAAAAGTCTACGATTTATGACGAAATATTTCTGATATTCTAATGACGTAAGCATGAGGTTGCCTACAATATAGAATACAATACTCAGTGCAGTACTCTCTCGTTCTGTCAACAAGTCATCGGCATTTCAATTGAGATTTTAACCTTAACATTCTTTTGTAAGCGGTATCAGGTCCATACCTTGGTATTGAATTTTTTTTCCGCGCGTTCTTTGCTGGAAGGTAAAATTTTTAATTGGGAAGTCGGATTATATTAAATTTAATTTACTCCATTTTCCGTGTTGTTGTGGGTTTATTGATATTTTTAAGGGTACAAAAGCAGTATTTCCGATGGCGTGCGCCGATAAAGGGAAAATATTGTTCTAGCGGTTTTGTGGCTGCTCGTAAATAATGACCTATAAATCAATCATCATTTCATCAGCTGCTAATTTCCTCCACCACGTCATATAACAGATTACAGTCAGTCCCGCTGTTTCTTTATCCAAAACGTCCTGCTTATGTCCTTGTTGAACATTACCGACTGAGGCAGGAGCATCAACCAGAAACGTTTATGACAACAACGATGAGGAGAAAGAAACGGGCAGGGGAGGGGAGGGCAGGGCGGGGCAGGGGGATGAGGAAAAAGAATGATTTTCTCTCAAACAGTCGAGGGCTGGTCTACATTTTGAGGATTATGGCCTATAGCGACAAAACGTGCGTGAAATAACGACTCTCAAAAGTTTATGCGATTCCGAGTAAAAGAATATGTAAATTAGGTCACGTAACCTTTAACGGCCATTTTGCGCGGAAAAAACTTTAGTTAGAAATGGCACCATTTTATAATAGCAGTCAACTGCAGTCAATCAAAGAAATTGCAACCAAGCATGTCCCTAGGTGAACGACTAAACATCTGTGCCCGGGCTTTGTTGAATAAGTTATTGAAAGTGTAAATAAAGGGAATTTTGTACTAGTGCCCAGTCCCCTTTTCAAACGATTTTCGAATTTTGACCATGTCTAAAAGATTAACTTAAAAGGCCCGGACACAGAACTGATGTACCCAATAGTCTCATAACTATGACGATGACTGCAACTTCCAAAAAGTAATTAAAAGGGGTGCTATATTGCCAAAAAGATTTTTGTGCTAAAACTAGCCTTAATAGGTCACGTGACAATTGGTGACTCCAATCATCATTCAAAGTTATTATACTTTGTGCTATATTTAAAGCTTAAAAGGTGAGACCACCCCACCCCCCCCCCTTGTTTTTGAGGAATAAGATATAAGACACATACCTTAATTTTCTTGAAATGACAATAAAATGCTGGTGCAACCTTGAGACGTGCGGAAAAATCAGTGCAAACAGACATGACAGGAAAGATAAACTCAGAATTCTAATTTGTAGTCCTTTTTCCAGCTTGCAGGAACAGCCATCTTGGGGATAGGAATATGGACCGAAATAGACCCAGGACAGTTTGACGCGTTCCTAGGCAACAGTGGCTATTCTCTTCCCGCCAAAATTTTAATGGCAGCCGGCGGGTTTGTGATGGTCATCGGTTTTCTGGGATGTTGGGGAGCAATCAAAGAGAGCCGACCTCTGCTTGGCATGGTAAGTATATGATTGTTTCTTTTTCGTGAAGATTAAACTGATTCTCATTTCCATTGTTTTAATTTACATTTGTTCTCTCTGCAAGTGACAAAAAATAAGACCAAGCGTCACAGCTAAACTTTGTCTTCAAGCTATCCTCGAAGAGTCGGGCCAAAACGGTCGCAAAACAGTGCTCCCTGTCCTGTTTTTGGCCCCAAACCGATCTTGCCTTTCAGCAAGCAGTTCGAGTGCGGCGTGTCGAAAGAGACCTCCTTTGCCTTCTCCAGACAGTTCATCATCCCAGAACGTCCCTCGGCTTCTGTTAAGTGTCACAGCATGTTAGACCTTCAGAGTTTTTTTTTTCTCTTTTTTCCCACGAAATTTGCTGTAATGTTCGCATAATCCAATATGGTATTGATCTTCTAGAGGTTTCTTGGTCAACCTCGTCCAAATTAGATTACAAAATGGCGTTGCATTATTGGAAAACGACACTGAAACGAGGAGACTCGGGGGACAAGGTTGGCCTCCTGTTCTCACGTAACATAACATAACATAACATAACATACATGTTTATTCAAACTCCTATATAACTACATAAATTTGAAAGGGAGAGTCTAGAGGTTAACCCTATGAATAAAACTCTGCTAAAAACAACAAACAAACAATAAAAATTACAACTTTAAAAAGGATTTGAGTTTACATTTAAAAAGTTCAAGGGTACCGGCTTCAACAACATTACTAGGTAAATTGTTCCAATAACTAATTACGTTGTTAAAAAAAAGAATATTTAAAACAGTTGATTCTAGATAATTTACAATAAAGGTTATACGAGTGATTTGCCCTAGTGGATGTGACTTTTGCGAATTGAAAGAATTCCTCAAAATCCAAGTGTGATAAGCCAAACACGACCTTATAACATTCAACAAGAGAGGAATATGTCCTATGACTGGAAAAAGATGGCCAATGTAACGTGTCACAACGCTCTTCATAAGACATATCACCTCTTTTTTGCCTTAGAGCTAATCTTGACGCGCGTCTTTGCACGCTCTCTATTGCATGAATCAGTCTTTGACAAGATATGGGTTCCAGACTGGGGCAGCATACTCTAGAAGTGGTCTGACCAATGTTTTGTAAAGCAATGAAAAAGTTGTTGTATTAGCTGTTCCAACAGACCGTCTTATTAGCCCTAGGACTTGGTTCGCCTTATTCACCATAGTACTAATATGTTCACTCCAAGTAAGATCTTTTGATATAATAATTCCAAGATCTTTAAAGCTCTTGACATCTTTTAAGGCCGTACCTAGTTTATAATTCGTAGTCGATTTGTCACGTGAATGCGTCATTCGCATTGCTTCACACTTTTCCTCATTGAAACGAAGTTGCCATTTTTTCGCCCATTTACCAAGATTATTCAAATCAGTTTGAAGGTATTGTTCATCGAGACTAGGGTTGCGAAGCTCTCTGTAAATCTTTGTGTCATCCGCAAATAATTTAATTTTTGAAGAGACACTATCAACGATATCATTTATATATGATAGGAATAAAATTGGACCAAGAATAGTTCCCTACGGGGTACCAGATATCACAGGTGCCCAATCAGCAAAAGTCCCTCTTACAACAACTCGTTGCTTTCTACACGTGAGGAAATGCCTCAACCAGTTAAGAAGTTTGCTCCCAATACCGAGGCTATATAACTTTATGAGTAGACGCTCATGAGGAACACTATCAAAAGCCTTTGCGAGATCAAGAAATACAACATCTGTTGCTACAGATGAATTCCTAGATCTGGCGAACTCATGAAAAGTAGAGAGTAATTGGGTCACAGTAGACCTACCCTGCCAAAAACCAAATTGGTTTTTGTTTATCACGTTTTGGTACGTTGAGGTTTTCCAGGAAGAACTGAACATTTCTTGATGGAATTAACTAACTAACAGCTTCAAGGAGTATGCCGCTAAATACAGGTTCTCTAAAACACGTTTGACTGCATTTTCTATTGTTATTTCTGCAGTTCTTTGCTTGTTTGTTCCTCATATTTGCTGCTGAGGCCGTAGCAGGTATCCTTGGTTTCCTTTACCGTGACAAGGTTAGTAATGACGACCGTTTTTCACGTACGTTGAATTCTGAAACGGAAAATTGTGAACTCTTTTGTTGCTATTGCTGCTTCTCTTTTAAGTTTCTGCTCCCTCGCCTGTGCCAGGTTCTCAGAGTGTAGGGACACCGCGAAAACAGGGTCAGTTGAAAATAATTTAGACGCACGTGATCTGGGAATGGAAGCGGCGGTAGAAAAAAATGCCGTATTTGCCATCCCTGCACATTACCATCCTGGAGCCTGGAACACGCTATTTGTTCCCCAACTCGGGTTGTAAGTAATTCAGACACGTTTCATTTTCCGATTTTCTCCTTTTAAGATGTCTATCCCATTTCAAGTTTCCAAAGTCCATTCCCCATTGGCAAAAAGGTGCGGACATTTCTAGACCCAGAAACTCAATTCCAGTCTTCTAGTAGGCCAACTGAATGGGCAAATCCCAGTTTGTATTCGACTCCTTCAGCGCCCAATAAGTCTGCAGAGCCTGTTTACTACTACTGAACAACAGATTCATATATCGCCTGTGCTGACAACCGTTACGTTTTTCACGGGCAGGTTGACGAGGAAATCACAAACACACTCAGTGACGAAGTCAAGATGAACTACGGAACAAAGATTGATTCAACCACCAACCAGAACATAGATAATTTACAAATACGAGTAAGTTCAATCTGAAATTAAACCTATCAAAGGGTTAAGATTTTTTTCTAGGCGTATGAGCAGTCAACCCATATCAGTCAGCCGAACGGTAACAACTCCTTTATCCTGGTAAAGGCAGTTTTCTTCCCTTGACCGTCGACGAGGAGGGTGGTATTTGTAGACTTTATAGTCCCCTTGTGATCAGTAGTCTTTTATAATTTATAAGTCAGATGACTTCTTTGACTCCTAGTGTCGTCAGTTGAAGAGGTGCAGTGTTTGACTAACCCACGTTTGATATATTAAAATTCTAACATGACTCCAATACTTTCTGGTCAATTTTGTATATTTGGTTTAGGGCCTATTTACAAGAAGGTGGGGGACCTCAGGTAGGTGAGCTAACCCGCTTAGGTGGGCTAACCCGCCTGTCCATACAATCTTTCATATGGTCACCCCAACTATCATGTAAACGTGATCAAATTAAAATAAGAGATTAAATAGACAAGCGGGTTACTTCACCTACCTGGGGTCTCCCACTTCCATGTAAACAGGCCCTTAGTTTTCTGTGTGCTCAAGCCTCTTCTGGGAATTGCGGACATTGAAGTCGTGAAAAATTTTCAATTTTGACCCTTAAGCCTCGGGGTCATGTTAGAATTTTAATATATCGAACGTGGGCAAAATTACAGTTTCGAATTCGTCGCGGCCGCTGAATAGAAGCACTGATGTCTCATGTATTCTGGGTTAGCCTCGATCATATAAGGTAACTATTCACAAATTCCAGTCAGAAGAAGACCTGTGTACAACCATGTCTTAAGTCTATTGTTTTAAACTCAAATACAAGCACCTTCTTGCCGGTATTTGTGAATATTTGGCTAACCCTATATAAATGAGTCTTCAGTGCTTCTATTCAGCGGTCGCACGAATTCGCAACTGGACTATTGAAGCAGCAACAGTAATGAATTAAAAAATAATTAACTTAGTAATAAGTAATAATTAGTAATAATTAACTTCGTCAGTTTTTAACAGAGTGTAGGTACGCCGCGAAACAGTCCCTAGGTCTTTCACTCAATAACGCGGCATATAAACTCCTCAATTAATCCTACGAGGACTCATGCGATAACGTTTTTATTACTTAAAGGTAAAATGGTATAGGGACCAATGAAATAACAGGTTTGGATGGGTGCAGGTCAATGGAAATTGTACCGAGGAAATCTCTATCAGTTACCATTTTAATTGGAGAGAAGAAAATGCCCTCTCTCTCAAACAATTAGCGGACAGTAGAAATTTTACCCATAAACAAACAACAGCAACAACAACAGCATCTTTTATTTAAACAAGATAAGTTTACAGCGTAGCTGATGTGGTTGTGTATGACACAACTCAAAATGAATAAAAAGTGATAGGAGAAGGTACTAAAAACATTTACCCGGCTGACTTTGCACGAATACATTTACATATTACTATTCACAGGTTTCTATCTACACTTTTCTATTTACAATGATTCAGTTGTTACATTTCTAGTGATACACCGCTGTATTTATTCACTTGTTTTCCCCTTGTACGTGGGAAACCATGCCCTCGCGTATTTCCTGGTAGAAAAAGGGATGTTTTCTGTTTTTGTTGATAGTGAGCTTTTCTCGTTGCCGGAGAAAAGGCATGAGAACAAATTAATTAATCGCATTTTAGAGACTATACTTTTCCCTTTCTTTTCTAAAAGTTGGAATGTTGTGGAGCCTCCAACTACACGGACTGGATGGAAAGCAAGTGGATTGAATTAGAAAGTATGGACAGTAAAAAAGTGGTTCCATTAAGTTGCTGCAGGGAAGGTGCAAATACTACTACATGCAACGAGAAGGATAATCTTAACATCCATAGAAAGGTAAAGTTTGTGAGCTCGAATAATTTCTTACTCATCGCCGAGCCGATCATTGCTATAATTAACTAGAACAGTCAGCCTCTACCTTCCCAGTCATCACCATCACGATCATCATAATCATCATCATCATCATCATCATCATCATCACCATCACCATCACCATCACCATCACCATCACCATCACCATCATCATCATCATCATCATCATCATCACGATCATCACGATCATCATCATCATCATCATCATCATCATCATCATCATTATCATCATCTTCGTCGTCGTCATCTTCATTATAAGGGAGGTTTAAAAGCAACAACCACGACCACCGCAGCAGCAACTTAACGTCACTGGGCTGAATGAATTTGCCGTCTTTCAAACTCTTTTGCGCTCATTTAACTGAGTCAATTTGCAAATGTTGGAAAATTTTACTGGAGCTGAATTCTTAAGGACTCTTCCCAAGGTAAATGAGAAACGGGAATTCGTCGCCGTGTGGTCACGTCCTCTATAAAACGTCGCATCAGGAAGGTTCACGTTCGGGTCGTGTTGTGAACGTCAAAGAAATGTACCAAATAGCGTAATGCACGTGCAGTGCCATTGTTTTGCTGATATAACGAATTGTTTAACGTGTTCGTGACCGTCGTAGTCGCGATTGTTTAAGCTCTCTAACATCATTTCCTTCACAATTATCATCAGCCTTGGCAAAATCTGTGACACTTCATCTATCAACATCATCTCCATGGCGACCATCAAAATCACCATCACTATTCTCATGTGTAACCTTGTGACTATAGCCATCTGCAATGGCATCTCCATTTAAACAACATCATCATCACCACATAACTATCATCACAACCATCACCACCACCACCACCACTGGTTTTTAACTATATAGTAATCTTCTTCTTCGTCATAACTTCCACCTCTCTTGTAAATAAAAAAGACCGGAACAACATGGTCTTTATCTTCATCAACATAGCCAACGCCGTGCCATTACTACGCATCATCATCATCATCATCACAGTGCCGTAGCCAGACCAAACGGCCAACCGAGGCAGGCGGGAGTTGCTAGGGGGGGTTCGGGGGCATGCCCCCCCCCCCGAGAAATTTTGAACTTAAGTCTCTCGGAAATGCGATTTGCAGCGTTTTCTGGGCCTTTCGGTAACTTTTTTTCGAGTTAATTTAAGTGGAATTTAAAAAGCACTAATCAGAAACAAGCGACATAATCTGGGTGACCGTTAACCTCGCCAATGGTTTTGATCAGTATTTCAAGTTTTTTTTAAACTCAATTGCATGCATCGGGGAACTCTAGCTACTATACCATTAAAAAAGTATCATATAACTGACTTATGCTGAATTCTTTGTAATATCATGATGCGTTAAAAATATTCGATGATCGCTTATGTAACATAAAAATGATCGGCGAAATTCGTCAAAATTTTACCGAGGCGAGTGCCTCGGTTGGCCTCATACTAGCTACGGCGCTGCATCATCATCATCATCATCACCACCACTACCACCATCACCACCACACCACCACCATCATCATCATCATCATCATCACCATCATATCATCATCACCACCACTACCACCACCACCACTACCACCACCACCACCATCATCATCAACATCATCATCATCATCATCATCATCATCATCATCATCATCATCATCATCATCATCAAAATCATCACTACCGATTATTTCAAATCTCGTCGTTATCTCAATTTTTGAAGCTAAGGTTAGCTTAACACATGTTCTTATTTTTTTAACCAGGGTTGTGTAGAAGGACTGAAGGACTTCGTAAACAACCATCTTCTGATCCTTGGTGTTATAGCAGTTTCCATTTCTGCCATTCAGGTTCGTAACGAATGTCGAGATCACGCATTTGCCATCCCTATATTTTACAGATCTCAGCTAACATTAGACGCTTCACAAATAATCTCAATTTTCTGTTCTCAAACCTCTGATAATCAACACGGAACAAAATCGATTAGCATGAACATGAAACCGTGAACGAAGGTCTAAATGACTTGTGCCGTTAGAGGGCCGCTAGGGAAAATACTTGGGTGCTCTTCACACAAGGTGCCCGAGCACCAATACGTGGGTATCGTCACTAGGTGTGGACCCAGCCCTACATAGAAATTGGTGAAAGCGGGATTTTCAATACGAACTATGCTTTGAAACTGACTGAAGTTACTAACTTTCGTCTTCTTTCGTTTGCTATTTTCAGTTACTCGGAATGATCTTTGCCTGTTGCCTCTTCTGTTCCATCGATGAATAAATGAATTGATGTAACTGGAAAGTTTAGAATTGACGGCGCTCACTTTGGGGTTCGGATACAGAGAAACATCATGCTCCACCAAAAAACTTCACATCTGTTAACCTCTAAATGGACTTCGTTACTTGTAATTATATCGCTGCTTACAGCCTTTAAGGTCCGATAAATGAATGTTTATTTTCTTGCATTTGTCATATACTACATGGCAGGGGCACGCAACGAGAATATAGGTAAAAACCACTTAAACATAGCATTGTTGAACGTATTTTAGTATTTAAAGTGTAGATATAGCCATAATTTTATCAAAACTCACCTTTTCGAAAATTTCAGCCAGAGAAAAGGCTCCTGAAAATTCTAGGTGACCTTTTTAGGGTAAAAATCTGTTAAAAGTGCCCAATTATACCATTTCGGGGGTTCGAAAATCCTAGGAGAGGCGGGCAAGCAAGAAATTTAACAACAAATGCTCCGAAAATTCTAGATCTCAAATCGTCTTGCGAACAGATATTTTCCAAAAATTGTCGTTGGGTGCTCCTGGCATGGGGTGGCTAAACGATCAAACATTTGTCTGTGATGCAGAATTTGGATGGAAAACTTTGAAATCCATTTAAATGCAATGTGTAGAGGGACGACTAAACGGTAAAACATGTTCTTCCTGATCCGATGCTAGACGAAAATGTTCGATCGTTTAGCCCGGGCTTTTTTTCAGGCACTCCAAAGTGTGTTAAGAGCTCATCTTCTCGGGGTGAACCTCTGCTAATAATGCCTCGGTCATAGCCTCAATTTTAGATCCTCAAGCCTCGTTTATGATTTATATTTTGCGCCAAAAACTAATAGAAATGAGTAAGATGTTTAGCAAAGGTAGATGGATTCAGCTAAGTCGTAAAACCAAGAGACTGTTTAACCTGTTTAAAAAACTTAGAAGTTGAGGGCCCATAGCTGTCGGAGACCAACTGTCATACTGCCATATTGTGCGGACGCTTGTGAACACCAAACGAAAATCTAAAAATAGACTTAGTCGTTGACACTTGTTAGTAGCGGATGGACTTTCTAGATGTTATGGGCTCCTTGCTGTGTCCGTGTTGTTACTTTAATCAAATCAGCATGTTTCTTCTCTATACTCTCTTTCACATATTACGTAAAATAGCAACGAGGAGAATTTGTCTACGATCCAGATATTTTATCTTTGGTTATTTTCTTAGTCTATTCTCCTGACATAAAAGGTGGTCGGGTATTATAAGACCTAGCCTGCGAAGCGCAGACGCATTTCCGGTCGTCGCTTCTCTCCCTCCGATTAATTTTTCGGAGGGAGAGAAGCGACGACCGGAAATGCGTCTGCGCTTCGCAGGCTATATAAGACCACGTTAGGAGTAGTCGTTAAATTTTATCATCTTATTCGCTGCGCCTAGCGTCCTCTTAGAAGACAATTCATTGGCTACCCGGCTTAGCTAATTACTTGTGAATGCAGGACATGTTTTAATCCATTTGAGCTGAGTGCCTGTTTACCAAGTAAACGATTTCTCAGTTGAACATTAATTTAATATAGTAATTAAGACTAGTGTTTTAAGATTTTGCATTCCAACAGCGTTTATTAATAGTTTTATAGGCTGAAAAATCCTGTTCCACTTTTTGTTTTGAACCAACATGATGCGAAATCCAAAGCAAGTCTTTTTTTTTAGTGTGACATGCAGTTTCCCAAACTTGACCCCTTCCAGATATTTATCGACCTCTACTAGTTCAGTTAATCGATGAAGCAATTCAAAAGAAATTACAAATTCTTTGGTTTCATTTTAGTGGGGGAAGCGGGGGGAGGGTGGGGGGAGGGGGGGCAGGGGAGTTTAAGCCTCCCGCCCCTTTTTTCTTCGCTTCCTCCCGTTAACCCTTTTTCGATTGCGAAATGTTAAGCATTGTTCCTCCTGTTTCACTGATTCCCATACTTTTAGAACTCCCACCTCTCGGCTTTTCCGCTCTCCCGCCCCCCGTCCCCCGTACCCCTTTCGTCCCAAATTCTCTCAGGCTCCCACTTCCATGGCCAGTACTGCCCACATTTTTTAAAACGACACTTATATGCTAGTCACGGTATCATATCAATGCATGACGTAGTCCGGAATTAATCATTGTAAATAATGAAAAATCTCTCAAGAAATTTTTGAAGGGGAGGTACATGTAGTGATCATAAGAACCGCGAACTAGAATTAATTAGCTTTTCTAATACTTTCCACATCAATTACATAGTATCATTCAATCAGCGTCACAAATAGGTCATTTTCAAGTTGCCTCAAGCCTCTGTTTCAAAGCGAGGCTTAGGGTAAAGCCATTGATATGAAAATGAATTTTTTTATTCTGGTGCAAAAAAAATTAATTTTCACAAGAAAGGTTTTGCTCTTAGCCTCGATTTGAAAGTGAGAATTTTTAGAGCCGGGAAATGGCCGATTACGAGTTCATACTTGGTGCCGAGGCTGAGAGGAATAAGACAAAAGAAATGAATTATTTATCCCTGGATCTCAATGCGATGTAGCCAGGTATGAATTTCAATCATTCGGAAATAGTCTATTTGTTTGAGCGTTCACGTTCGGTTTTAGATTCGACCAATTACCTTATAGTATCTCTCTCCTCCGAATACAGAGGCCTCTTTGCGTCGTGTGGAGGCTGGGGAGAGGGAAAAATGGAAGCGCGCGGGGAGCGATGGGAAGGGGAAGCTTCCCGCCTTTTCCCTCTTTCCATCGTCCACCTTGCGCTTTCTATTTTTAAATCATTACCATTTTTAATGGATACCCAGCGAGAGCCTCTGCAGAGAAGCGAGTTACAGTATTCCTTTTTGTTATTTTTTCTTTTGGTAGAAATAGATAAAAAATATTGCTTACCTATTGATCTTGTAGTTTTTTCTTTTTTTTTTAAACATATGTTGCTACGTTATTTCAGTTAAAAAGGGGGAGGGGGAGGGGGAGAGAAGCGCGAACGGCAGCCTTATCCTCTCTCCCCAATCCACCTCCCTTTTGCCATTGCTGTGCGAGCTAAAAGATATTGTATTGTTTTACATATATTGGCGTTGGCCTTCTGAAACAATTTTCTTCTCTTTCTTTTGCAAGAGAACACCCGATAATATATACAAGCAAGCTTAAGTATATATTATTATGAATTATACCATGCTTATAATCGTATCAAATGTAACCATAAAAATATATAGAAGAAGAAGCTTGCCTGTGGAATGCTAAGAAATAAACTGCATGATAACCTTCAAATTTGACTGATCTGTTGTCACTGCTTGGTGTCAAAGGGCTTGTTCATATCATGATGGCAGTTGACCAAACGTAAGTTTGGTTTTAATTTCTAATCACCCCACGTAAGGTAATCCAAGACAGCCTTGGATTCCAGATACTGAATCCGGATTCTTTGTAAGCGGAATTTGAATTCCGGATTCCACAGGCAAAAATGTCCGGAATCCAGATTACCTTCTGTCCCGGGGGGGCCTTCCGTGAGGTAATTTAAAACTTTCCTTTTTGTTTCTGTTTTTCATAATTCTTGTACTCTTAGCTTAATTAAGGTTGTCACTGGATTTCTCATTCCTTCTCGAAAACCCCCGGGGCCACTCAAGGAAAGCTTGGGTAGAATCATGGAATAGATTTTAAAAAATACATAAATTGTTGGTACCTACGTATGAAGACCGCTCATCGCCAAGCTCCACACTCTTTTAAAGGCTTCTGGTCCTAAAAGACACCCTGTCCAAGACACTAAATAGTGAAATTGTATGCCCTCAAGACCCTGAAAAGCATACACTGTTCAGCGGCACATACCTGTTTAGGCCAAATAAGGGAGTGTCCCCTGAAAGCGTAAAACATACTAGATAGTCCCTGTGTTCAAATATGCAAGAGTACCAGGTTAGGCACGAAACCACCGGAGAGCTGCTGTCACGGAACGCCCAGACGAAAGATGTGATTTTACAGGCAATCGTAAGTAAATAAACCGACCTACACGTCCATAAATTTACGCATGCCGCTAAAAAATCAGTGCTTGCGCTTTACTTCAGAACGACAATGACTCCCATTCGCCACTTTAGAAACGGGAAGGGAACTGGGCCGAGTTAACTTTTGCAAAGACTTCTGGGACGGTTACTGGTAGTTTCCTTTGCAGCCATTTTTAGGCTCGTCACGCAGGAGCGTTGCGTGACGAACCTAAAAACGGCTGCGAAGGAGACTAGGTTACTGGGGACAGGGGAAAAAATGGACCAATAACTGACCAGTGCCAGTAACGATCCCAGAAGTCTTTACGGTAGTTCACTCGGACCAGTCTCCTACTCATTTGTAAAGTGGTGAATGCTGCGAACCAAAGAGAACTCAAACATACAGTGTGACCGTTCAAGGTTTTTAAATTTGGAGAAAAAGTATGGGAGTATCGGAAAGGTTTTATGTAAGTATAATGCGATGAAGGTCAAAACGCTCACGCTCAAATGCCGTGCTTTGCGTAGGTTTTACGTCTGTGATAGAAGGTCAAAACACGCGTGACCAGATTGCGCTAAAACTGATGTATTCCATTCATTCTTAATGGAAGATTAGGATTGCGGGCTTCTCTGGTCGTCCGCAATAAGATTTTCTAATACGTATTTTTAACTGAAAAGGTGTGTTATAGTCCTTGTAGCAGAGAACGGCGAATTTTAGCGATATGAAGGGTATTGCGCACGACGTGTTGGCTGGGCTTTCAGCAGAGAGACGCCACGGTGGTACGGTCTCGAATGTGACGCGCCGGGGTCGGTTCGACTGTAGACGTCACGGTCAGTATGAATCTATTCAACAACATTCATATTCATCCTCATTTGTATCATGAGTTATAAGGAAAAAGAGTGATAAGCGGACTAAGCCAAGCGATTTTCTGGGTGGGAGGGTGGGCTGTTCACCCCAGCGTGACTCCGCTGAAAACGAACGAAGAATTAATGAGTTCAACCGCAAAATCAGCATTTGTCATCGAGAGTTACGTAATCGCACGTGAAACTGTTTGACTTGCCACATTTCAACATCGCATATCAGTTTGAGTGTTGTGAATAGAGTGGAGTGCACTTTTAGCAAATGGTGCGGGAGGGGGGGGGGGGGGTGGGGGGGGGAAGGGGAGGAACTTTTAAAAATTACTCCAGATTTTGTAAAAAAAAAAATATTTTTTTGGCTAAATTACGTCTAAAAAATTGTATCCAATAAAGTGCAAAATAACTCAATTCTGGGGGGGGGGGGGGGCGTGGTGTCCCCCACGACGCACCCCGCAAAAAACAAAAAAAAAAATAAAAAACAAAAACCCAAAAAAAATTTTTTTTCAGGGGATTTAAATAAACCCAAGGGAAATTTTTTTGACTCCCACAATTCAAAAACCACATAGATGTTTGGGGGTGAGAAAAGGGGGGGGGGCCTTTTTAAGAAAGGGGGGGGGGGGGGGGGGGGGGGTGGGGTGAGGGAAGGGTAGGAACTCTTAAAAATTACTCACGATTTTGTAAAAAGAAACATCTTTTATTGGCTAAATTAGCTCTGAAAGATGTTATCCAATACAGTGCAAAATACTTCAATCGCTATCATTAAAGACAAAAGCACTTTCACATCAGTTAAATGTATGTAACAAATATTCAGGACAACTGTTGCAGTTCACTCTAGTTAATAATCTACGTTTAGGTAGGTGAAATATTCAGAATAAATAAACTTCTGAATTGAACTCTTCCATCAAAATGCCTTTTTTCTCTCACAAAATTGGGCCCACTTCGTTGCTCAGTGTTACTATGTGGCAAATGTAAAAAAAATCTAATCTAATGACTCACTTGACCGGTGCTAGAATCCTCTGCAGAAGAGCCAAACTAGTAGCATTTCTAGCAACTCCTTTTTTTTTTTCCACATGTGGAATCTATCATTCCAGCCGTTATTGTATTATTTGACGTCAAAGATAAACGGCATTGATAAGCGCATCGCTTGGAAAAGCGATAATGAAAATCGTAAAAGGACTATTTCAAATTTCATACACTGTTAACTTACATTTAAGTAACCTCATAGAGAATCTAATAGTTTGATTCAAGGCGAGAAGTCGTTATATTAATTGCGACATCATTTTCGACCCCATTACTTGTCACAAACATAACAGAGCAGACTGCTTGAACAGGTAGTAATGATCGAATTTTTAGGCGTATCAAATAAATACCACCCCCCCCCTCCCCCCCGCCCTCCACCCATGACGATCGGTCAAACAAAATTTCATTCAGAAATCACGAGGTTTGTTCACAGAAAGTTGACCAAAGAAGTTTGTCCTCTCGGAGAAAGCAAAGTTTTCACTGGTTTTTACACTCCGGCGGTTTCTCGCCATCCTACAAAGAGAAATTAAAGTGATAAATTCCATTGTTTTCACTGTCGTCGTGCTGATTTTCAGCATCACTAGAATTTGATTTCTGAGAGTACCTACTTTAAACTGGTGAATTTGCTTTCAAATTTTCCATTTCAGTTAGCAAAACGACTTTTAACGATCTGTAAGTCACAACTTAAAGGATGTGAGGGCACTTAACTTCCAGTTTTTCTTTAATTCTCTGCAACCGACGGTTTTTACTGTGACTTGAAGCGAATTTGTTTTTTCGGATTATTTTCGCGTCCCATTTGCTGCACTTATTTACTTAAGGCCAAGTTCAGAAGGCACGAGACGAATTTTCGAGCGGCTGAAAATCTGACTTGACACTTAGTTCACACGGACCATTCAACTTTTTCGCTCTGTTTACAAGGGACTTTGAGTGAAAGGCGCGAAATGTTCCGCCATTTTGCGCTGCTCTACGAAAACAACGCAACGTCGATCCCAGGGCTTCGCGGTTGCCCGTCCATTTTTTCTGGTATTTATGCTGTACTATATGTTGACGTCATTTTCCACATATCGCAAACGTCTCCCAAATTTGGTCAACGCTAGCTGGTTACAACGAATAATCCGTGCGATTTGAGCCAATCGGAGATACCTGGAACTGCGCGGCCATGTATAGCGCAAAAGTGCCCTCAAACCAGTGTTTAAATCTCTATCAAAAAAAGTTTATACTTCTTCATTTAAAATTAAAAAACACCTCTTGCCGAATTAAGCATATTGCCTTAACACCACCCGTAAAATAATCGCAGTAATGACTTACCGGGGGTGGCTGGTAATCTGGGTCCTCATCTTCATCTTCTTCACCGTCCCCTTCCTGAAAATGACAGCAATCAGAAAAAAATGTAATGCAACATCGCACTATTACTTATGCAAAATTGTCCCATCATTAGACCAATATTGCACTGTTATTGGAGTTGCTTGGCCACAGTTACTTGAGACTAGAAACAAACTGAAATCTTTCAAAAACTTTCTGCCAACAATTTGTTGTGATTGGGAAGTAAACTGAGATAATTTCGAACAGCCCATTGAACAATTTTCTCCTTATGTGACGACGAAGGGGTTAGTTGGTAATATGAAATACGAAATAGCCGGTGTCGCTGTGCCGTAGGAACGTAAAGTACACATCATTGTTATGTAAGTGTAAATTTTTCCCCAATAGCGCTCGCTCTCATTGGTTATTTTGAGGTCACACGTTTCCCGCCAACACGTTTCTGAGCGAGCAACATGGTAACAATGCATTAACAGTGCACGAATGTTGACCAATTGTTGAGATTTTCTATCACTATTTTGTAATATATAACAAATCACTCAATGAGCAGTCTCTGAGGGAAGCCAGTTATATTTTGCTTCCCGCGGTTCCGCCTCGGGACACATTAGGGAGCTTTAGCATCGACGACGGCAACGGCAGCGAAAACGTCAGTTTTAAAATGAATTCCCGTTTTTTCAATCTTTGTCGCGTTTTTCCAATTCGCTGAAAATGGCAAGTGTAGGCGAATTTCCCTGCAGTTGATTTCTTGAGGACCGCACTCAAGTTTAGAGAGAGAAAAAGAGATTCGTCGTCGCTTGTTTACGTCCTCCATAAAACTTGCAATTAGGCATTTTCAAGTCGTAGTCCTGCCAGGACGGTAAAGAAATGTACAAAAAAGCGTGATGTACGTGCAAAGTTGTTGTTTTGCGCAATAAACCTATTGCTTTTTTGACGTCCTGGTTGCCGTCGTCGTTGCTCAACCTCCCTATTAAGTTTCTTGGGAAACAAAGCCAGTTGTTTTCCTCCAGACTCATTACCTCTGCTTCGCTTTCTTCCTCTTCTTCTTCAAACTAAAAAAAAACACCACAAATTAATGTTTTAGCTTGGTCTGATTTAGTTGGTTCGACGCGTCCTAAGTTCGACGTCTGACACAGCAGACGATCTTAACTTAATTTAGGTCGACCCAAATTTGAGTTTGGTTCGTCTCATGAAAAGTTGGACGTTTGGCCCAAGGCGCTAAGAAAGCTAAGCAGTGAAATACAAAGTTGAAGCCGTGAGAAAGAGGTCGGAACTAAAAGAATGCGTCACTTGTAGCCACTATAACGTGACAGAAGCGAAAACGGCAAAAGACAAGCGCGTCCGTTAAACAAGAATTTCAGATGATCAAGTTCATGGTTTCGCCAAGACACGGTGAATTTAACAAACTTCCTTACAAACCGCCCCGCGGTCGTGCTTAGTGAATGAGAGACATATCAAGTAAATTGCAACAATTTAAAAGTAATTTAAAAGCTGTTTAAAGAAATAACAGCTACTTTGCTCATGACTTCAACCACAGGGTCCGTAAGATCGTCAGGTTTTTGGACAAACGCTGGGTTATTTTATTAAGCACAGGCAGCCCAGCTAAGAGCTAAACAAAGACAAAATACAAGCTGACGACTAAAAGACTTACTTCCTCTTCAAGCGCTTCTCCTGTGAAGTACAACACAGCCTACAGAAAAAGAAGACAACCGTTAAAAAGCAACCCAGACATGTATTTGTTAAAGCCATGAACGTGCAACAACTATGATTCTACAACCAAGTAATCCTGTTCTCTCAGGGATGGATTATTACCACAGTAGATTTAAGAAGTGAGGGGTGGGAAAGGGGGAGGGGAGGGGAGGTCTGCTGGGTAAAAGAACCAGCAGACCTCCCCTGCCCCAGTTTATAGCCAACACTGGGAAAGTACTGTTTCCACCGTGATTGTCACTGAAACAGGTAAGTATAAGAAAGGCGCCGCGCAGGAGCGACGAGGCCTTTAAGGGCTAATGGCAAAATGCCCTTCCCCTCCTCCTTGATGGGATGCTAGTCTATCGCGGGGCCAGGGAGCTTTAGCAACAACGATGACGACAGTAACGAGAACTTCAAAAAAGTAATAGGTTTAGATTAGTAAAACAACAACTTTGCACGTAAAGCACGCTTTTTTGTACATTTCGTTGCCGTCAATGCACGACAACGACGCGAAAGTGCCGAATTTCACGTTTTGTGGAGGACTTGAACACAAGACAACGTAAACATCGCGAAGGCAAGGTACGGATTCGAAGCTTGAGGTAGTGACCACTTGGCCATGTCGGACCCGAAATGGGGTTCCTGTGGTGCGTGTGTGACGTAAGCCGAACCGGTCAGGACCGGTTTTGGCACTAGAACACGAGGAGAAAAAGAGCGAGCGATCTTGTGAGTACGAGCGAGTTTATCAAACGAGAAACGAATAAATTTTGTTGAAATCATCGCAACAAAAGGTGGCGACCCTGCCAGGACACCTGTGATTCGAGAAAGTAACAGCGAGCGGCGAGAAGTGAGCGACGAGAGGAATTTTACATGTAAACACAGCGAAGAAACACCGAAGTCAACAACATGAGCGCCGAAGGCGAAATCAAAACAATGCAGGAGAAGATTCAAGGTAAACTGAAAATGCTTGAATTTACAGCGGGAGATACAGCGAAAGTAATCGAGACCGGAGACCTGAAGACAATTGAGAGGCATGGAAGCGCATTGGAGCACGTTATTGACAAAACACATCAGCTCAAATTGGAAGTTCAGGAGTTGCGTATTGAAAGTGGGAATGACCCTGTAGAGGTCAGACTTTGGACCGAAACTTTAGAAAGCCAAATCAGTAAATTTGAGGGAATTCTTAAAGAAGTGGAATATGTAGCTGCCGGTATTAGATCAATCGAAGAGGAAAAACGCGAGGAAGAGAAACGGAAACGGAATTTGGAGGAAAAGATCCAGCTTGAAAAGGCTAAACACGAAGCGCGAGCGAGTCTTGAGAAAACGGCGAAGGCATCCACGGAGGAATCTGGGAATTTGAGCAGTGTCGGAGCGAAATTGCCAAAACTGGAGATAACTAAATTTCAAGGGACTTTCCTGGATTGGATGAGGTTTTGGAATCAATTCGAAACTGAAATCGACAAGGCTAAACTAACTCAAGTTGCTAAGTTTTCTTACCTGAAGGAGTTACTAGTACCCAGTGTCCGCGCGTCCATTGACGGACTCCCTTTCACGACGGAGGGTTACGAAAGGGCCAAAGCTATATTGAAAACCAAGTATGGTAAACCCAGTGAGGTAGCAAACGCACATATGCAATGCATAATTGGATTATCCACAGTTCATGGTGGACACCCAGCAAAAATCCATGATTTCTACGAGAAGCTAACAAGTCACATACAAGTGCTAGAGACCATGGGCAAGGTTAACGAAATAGGAGGGTTTGTGCGTGCGACGCTTGATAAATTACCTGGAATCAGAGCGGATCTGGTACGTCTAGACGATAACTGGCAAGAGTGGGGATTTGCAGAGCTAATCGAATCCCTGAGGAAGTGGTGTGACCGTAACCCTATTGTCAGCGAAAACCTTAAACCTGAACCGCCAAAGCCTGACCTGCGAAGTCGTTATCCTCCGAACCGTGACCCGCGAAATCGCTTCCAAGCAAGGAAAAATCCTGCTTACCAGACCAAAGATGAGAGTGCGAAGGTGGGGCGTAACTGCATCTATTGTAATGGCGAGGATCACAGCTCCACCCAGTGCAAGAAAGTCCCTGGCTTGCACCAGCGCAGGCAGATCTTGAGTGACAAGAAACTATGCTTCAACTGTACAGGAACAAGACATCAAGCACGGGAGTGCCACAGCAAGTACACTTGTCAACATTGCGGTGGCAGACATCACACGTCTATTTGTGACAGGCTGCCTAGCAACAGTCAAATGATGTTGGCAACTGGTGAGGGTTCTGTTATTTATCCGGTGGTAGTGGTGTTCGTCGATGGGATCAAATGCAGAGCATTACTAGACACAGGTGCGGGTAGTTCTTATGCGTCAGCGGCTCTGATTGAACGGCTTAACAAGCGACCAACTCATATCGAACATAGACAGATTGACATGATGCTTTGCTCAACAGTTCAAAAGGTACAAGGGTATTCAGTAACGGTTAAAAGTGTTGATGGGAAGTTTGAGATGATGACGAAGATCAATAAGGTGGACAAGGGTGTTCTACTCACAGTCCCAAATCCGAATTATGGAGAACTGATCAGCAAGTATCGTCACCTGCAGGGAGTGGTCATGGATGACGATGACAAGAAGAGTGAGTTACCCATTCATGTAATACTCGGCGCCAGCGAGTACTCAAGGATCAAAACTGAGACGAAACCTAGAATTGGTCAGCCGTCTGAGCCCATTGCTGAGTTCACTATGCTGGGGTGGACGATGATGTCCACAGGGAGAGAAGCCGCGCTATCCAACGTTTATTTGACGAAAACATCGGCAGCGGACTACGAACAACTCTGCTCTTTAGATGTTTTAGGACTCGCAGATAGACCAGAAGCAGACCAGCAAAACGTGTTTGCCGAATTCTCTGAGCAACTGAACCGAAGTGACGAAGGTTGGTACGAATCGGGTTTGCTATGGAAGCCGGGTCACGATCACCTGCAATCGAACGAACGCGGAAGTATCAGGAGACTACAAGGTCTAGTGAGGAAGTTGCAGAGAGAGCCTGGTCTGATAGACAAGTACGATGAGATCATCCAAGAGCAACTCACTGAAGGGATAGTTGAGAGAGTTGTAGACGAGCCAAACGAGAGAGTATTTTACATCCCTCACAAACCTGTGAAAAAGGAAACTGCCGTGACCACAAAACTCAGAATTGTATTTGACGCATCGGCTAAGCCAAGTGAAGATAGTCCGTCGTTAAACGAGTGCTTAGAAACGGGGCCTCCCTTGCAGAATCTGTTGTGGAACGTTCTTGTGCGAAATCGCCTAAAGCCAGTAGCCTTAGCAGCTGACATCAAACAAGCCTTCTTACAAGTACGCATAAGACCTGAAGACCGGGATGCACTACGTTTCCACTGGCTCAAGAACAAGGACCCTTCAGTTATTGAAGCCTTGAGATTCACGCGAGCGCTCTTCGGGTTGGTCCAGTCGCCATTCTTGTTGGCGGGAACACTAAAGTTGCACTTGCAAAGCCTAAGAGAGAAATACCCAGTGGAGGTAGACGAGATCTTGAGGAGTCTATACGTTGATGACGTCATCACGGGGGGCAACACCAAAGAAGAGGTTCAGGACCTGAAGAAGACGATCATATCAGTGTTTGGGGATGCTAAGTTTACCATGCACAAGTGGAACTCCAACGAGCCTCAGCTAGAGAGTGAGAATGTTGTTCCGGTGCACGAGCCTCAGCTAGACGGTGAGAATGGGGTGCCTGTTGATGAACAGCAGAGTTACGCAAAGCAACAGTTGGGAGTTAAGGAAGGTGAATCCAAGATATTAGGTTTGCCGTGGAACAAGAGAGAGGACACAATTGCAGTGACTTTCCCTGAGGAACCTGTTGATAACACTAAGAGAGGAATGCTACGATTCTTAGCTGCGGTGTACGACCCGCTTGGTGTAGCGTCGCCCACAACATTAGTGGGAAAGCTTCTATACCGCGAAGTATGCGACAGTCGACTACCGTGGGATGAGAAACTGTCAGACAGAATTGGACAAGAGTGGCTGAAGTTTGTGAGGAGCCTCCCCAACAAGGTTGAAGTACTGCGGAGCATACCAAGGTTCAAGGAGCCGATCGAAGGAGTCCAGTTGCATGTATTCGGTGACACAAGTGGAGTTGGTACATCAGCGGCCGTCTATGCAGTGATTACGCAAGCCTCCGGGGTGAGCAAGGGCTTAATAGCAGCAAAGTCAAGATTAGCAAAGAAGAATCTTACAATTCCAAGATTGGAACTTGTGTCCGCTCACATGGCCGCTAACCTTGTGGAGAACGTGAGAGTCGCACTTGAAGGATATCCAATCAAGTCAGTCCATGGGTGGAGTGACAGTACTGTCGCACTCCACTGGATCAAGGGGGGAGGTACTTACAAACAGTTTGTGGCCAACAGAGTCCGCAAGATCAACGACAAAGATTACATTGAATGGAGACATGTCGACTCCAAACACAACCCAGCCGACATAGGAAGCAGAGGCTGCAAGGCAGATCAGCTGTGTAATGTGTGGTTGCCGGGACCACAATGGTTGTCCAAGCCAGAGGAGTGGCCGGGAGACGTAGTGACAGAGCCTAACAAAGAAACGGAAGCAGAAGCTAAGCTTACTAAGGAGGTGTTTGCAGTGGCAGTGGAGGCGAGGGACGACTTCGATGAAGTGCTGGAAAGGCATACCTTCTGGCGAACGATCAGAATCAGTGCATGGGTCATGAGATTCCTTCAAAATTGCCGGAGCAAGAAGTGGAACCGAGTAAGCGGACCCTTGACAACAGCTGAGACGGAGATACAGGTCAAGTGGTGGATAAGGCGGGAGCAGCAGAGACACAGTGTAACAGACAAGTTTCTGGAAGACCAAGAAAGGCTCAACCTTCAGAAGAATGACCAAGGAATCTATGTGTGCAGAGGAAGAATTCAAGGACATTATCCGGTGTATTTGCCACCCAGGGTAGTCTTATCAGAAAAAATGGTGCAAGACGCCCACATCTTGACGCTACACGGGGGAGTCGGCCTAACGATGGCGCATGTGAGACAAGAGTATTGGATTCCCCGTCTCCGGCAACTGGCGAAGAACGTGGTTAACCACTGCTATGGGTGTAAGAAGTTCCATGTGACAAAGCTCCAAAATCCACCGCCTGGAAACTTACCAGTGGATCGTACAGAGGGGACATTTCCGTTCCAAGTAGTAGGGGTGGACTACGCCGGGCCCATAACTTACAAGATTTCGAAGAAGAAAGAAGGCAAGGCATACATTTTACTGTTCGCATGCAGTCTAACGAGAGCGGTCCATTTAGAGTTACTAACTGACCAGACCACTGCTGGTTTCATCAGGTGTTTGAAACATTTCATTGCGAGACGGGGGAGGCCTACGAAGATTTATTCGGACAATGGAAGAAGTTTTGTGGCTGCATCCAGGTGGCTCAAGAGTGTTATGAGGGAGGAGAAATTGCAAGACTATCTGGCCCACCACAACATCCTTTGGCAGTTTAACCTCGCCAGAGCCCCATGGTGGGGCGGTCAATTTGAACGGTTGGTTGGAGTTGTGAAACAGTCATTTTACAAATCTATGGGACGAGCGTACCTGACATTCGGAGAGCTTGAAGAAGTTGTGCTTGAGGTGGAGGTGGCCGTCAATAACCGCCCGTTATCCTATGTTGAAGATGATGTTGAACTTCCGGTGCTAACGCCAAACGTCATGATGCACGGGCTACCTAACCTCCTGCCAGAGGAGGATGCAGAGTCAGTGGAGGATGTGGAGCTACGTAAGAGGACAAGATACCTCCGTCGCTGCAAGGACATTCTGTGGTCAAGGTGGACTACAGAATACATCAGAAGTTTGAGGGAGAGACACAATCTCAAACACAAGACCAAGGTGCTGACACTGAAAGTTGGAGATGTGGTGCTAATTCAGAGTGAGGAGCGCAACCGTGGAAAGTGGAACATTGGAGTTGTAGTGAAACTCATCAAGGGGCGTGACGGCGTCGTCCGAGCAGCGAGGTTGAGAGCGGGGAAGTCCTACTTGGAGCGAGCAATCCAACAGCTATGTCCAATGGAGCTGTCGTGCGACGTACGGGACACACAGTTGAGAAATTCGGTGCAGCTTAATCCTCGAGCCAGAGAGTTCGCCCCTAGGCGGGCTGCTGTAGCTGCGGCGAAGCGGATCAGAGAGATTGCAGAGCAAGAGAACAAGTGAACAGACCCAGGGACGAGTGGGGTCATGAACTGTTAGAACTGTTAAATCTGTTAGAACTGTTAAATCTGTTAGAACTGTTAAGCCCATGGAGCTGTATGTTCGATTTGCTCCTCTTGCGAGAACTGATTCAGTGACTTGCGGAGTCACGAACTATTAGAACTCTTTAAAACTGTTGCTGTTATATAAGCATGGAGCTGTGTGATTATATTTGCTCCACTTGCGTGTATCAAATAGGGGGAGAGTGTCGGACCCGAAATGGGGTTCCTGTGGTGCGTGTGTGACGTAAGCCGAACCGGTCAGGACCGGTTTTGGCACTAGAACACGAGGAGAAAAAGAGCGAGCGATCTTGTGAGTACGAGCGAGTTTATCAAACGAGAAACGAATAAATTTTGTTGAAATCATCGCAACAGCCATCACCCCGCTTCTACTTTTAACCCAGATTTTAACTTTTGACTTTGCATTGTCGTCACTGATTTGGTGAAAACGGACCGCAAATCGAAATTCACGAAAAACTTGTGCAACGCATTAATTCGTGCAAAAGTCAAGGTTCTGTTATAATATAAACTGAAAAGGTTCGGTAAAAACAACAACAACAATAAAAGACGTTTCGAGGGTGCAATCTCTTTTTCAGCGGTTTGAAAACAACTGACAAATGCGCGCACAACTTAACCTTCAAACAACAACAAAACAGAGACGTAACTTTACTTGCGCGCGCTAACTTTCAAGAAGTCTAAAATTAAATGACATTAAAATCAGTGTTTGGGCCACTTGGGTGAAGTGACCTGTATTTAAATATCATTTTGGCATCAAAACTGGGCCTGTACTGATATTAGTGAAAACTTAAGCGTGGTTTAGTTAGTGGTTAGTTTTTTCCCGTGTTAAAGTAAGAGAAGATGGCAGTCAATGATCCATTTCTAAGTTGCCTCCTGCCTCTTTTTCAAAACGAGGCTTCGAAAAATGTTTCGACATGAAAATAGTTTCTTAATATGCTCAAGCGAACAGAACTCAAGTTTGAACGTAATGGGTATTGGAATTGTGAACTCGTCTGTTGCATTACCTTGGGAATGATTCTTTCTCTGAAGAAATGACCAATTTCGAAATCAGCAGATAAGAGGGCTTCCGTTTCTTCATCCTACAAAATATATATATATAAATATGTAAAACAGGTTTTAATAGCAAAGTCCATAATTTAAAAATGCGTTTTTGGGAGGTACGTTTTACTTTCCATCCATTTAACTATTGAAAAAGCCATTTCTTACCATATCAGCTTCATCCTCGGGAACTAAAATGAAAATAATAATAAAAGGAAAGGGTTAATAAGTGAACTAGCAAAGTGTAGTGAGTGAGCCAGTGTAGGCTACGCCACGGTCAGCAATCTTAAGCGTGCGTTATTATATATGCTTGCAGATTTGAAGTTAACAAAATTAATGGACGCGCTTGCACGAATCTATAAAGAAAGCGTCAGATTGATGTGTTTGACCTGTTGATTAAGGTCAGGCTTTTCCCACTTGATGTACATGGACTCCTTAAGCTTAACCTGATACCTTGTAGGGGCAGAGTCCGAGATCTTAAAGCAGTCTAAGTTACAGGAGGTACGACTGGACTCTGAAGCCTGTAAGTGCTTATAAACGTGAGACGATCTGTCCGATGACATGTGCTCGTGCACGCACGTGGAAAAGTGAAGGCTTCTTTCGCCAACGTAACAAGCGTTACAGCTTGCACAGGAAAATTTGTAGACGATGGGCGTCAAGGCCTGTCAGGGAGAGGATCTTTCACGTTTAATTCAAATTTATGAAGCGAATTGTTTTCTAACGCTTGCAGATTTGCTTTTTGAATACCGTGTGGCAAGAAATCTTTGTGGGTTCTAATTTTTGCGATTTTTCCAACGATTCGCAAAAATAAGTTCCCGCAAAAATTAATTACCGCAAACAATTTTCTAGCAAAAATTTACTCCAGAGTCTGTTCAACTACAACTTGTCTCTTACGTTCAGATACAAAACGATTAAAATGACGAGCAAAACTTCTGTCACTGGTTTTACATAGGGTACGCATGCTATAGTATTGCTTGAAATATGTAATTATTTATTTACGTAGTCAGCAAAAACGATGACGACTTGTCCCGGACTTTCTGAAAATCGCAACAATTAATTCCCAGCAAGAAAAACCAATTTGTCCTAATCGCAACAATTAGTTCCCGCAAAATACAAAAAATCGCCAATCCGCAAAAATAAACTCCCGCAAAAATTTCCTGGCACACGGTATGTCATCACATACTATTGGGCGTTTTACAGCTTCAGAGCATCACCCCACTCTCCTCCTCCCTCAGTGTTAGCATACTCTCTAGGCTAGACTGTTCACAGACAACTTTTTTTTCATGAAGATCGTCAGGATCGAGCGCTGCCTTACCGGTAAGGGTGGCCATCTTGGTTTCATTTTTCATATATATACCGAGGAGGTGGGTGTCGGGGTTTATAGCGGTGGGTGGAGGGAGGCGAGGGAGGAGGGGACCTCCTCCCAAACTGTTCCCCGCCCCTTAAGTAGATATGACACTCATCCAAGATGGCCGCCGGTAACGCAAAGCGCTCGATATCGACGATCTTACGGAAAAATAGGGGATTGTGAACAGTATAAATTCTCCCTGATTCCTTCCTTGCAAATCTTTGTTGTTCTTTATTTTTGTACTTCCACTGACCCAAATGGCTTCAGTGTGATGGGTACCATGAGAAGTGTGAGCATGTGGGGGTCGTCGCTGGGTTGCGAGCGGAATCAGATAGGTTTGTAAACCGTTTCAAGTTTGAGCGCACGTTAACCCTGGTTCTCATATGCCGCCGATGCACCTGCGACACGGCCGCCGGTACTGCCTGGGATACTGTTCCGATATGAGAACAGAAGTGGCCGGCAACATTGGTCATCCCAGTCTTTATCGCCAGAATGCCTGCGAAGTTGACTCGAGTTAAACCTCGCAGGCACGCCGGCGGTAAAGCTCTGAGATGGGTCTAGTTGTCGGCGGCGCATGTTCTCATTCGTCCGAGAAGTAGTCCAGGCGGTAACGGCGGCTACTTCGCAGATACATCGGTTGGGGGCAAGTAAAGCCTGGTTCTCATATGCATCACAGGCAACCAGCTTCCACCTGCAACTTAGGAGTAAATAACACATTCTATTCCTTCCAAAAGACTATTGCCACTGACCTTCAGGAGGTGCAAAGAAGTTAAAGAATGAATCATTTTTTATTGTTTTGCTGACAAATCTTGTTTGCTTTCCTGCAGACCCTGAAAATAGAGAACATATACCTATTGTTACAATAAAGCGTACTTTCCACATCTATGTCTAGTCTGCAAGAGAAGCGACGACCGGAAATACGTCCGGGTACGCAGACTACCATGTGGCTACCGTGACTACCATGCGCGCGTCGTGTCCTCCCTCGCTTCGCGCCCGCCGTAGCTCGCCTGAAAAATGCGAAAAAATAACGCCTTTCCTGTAGTAGCCTGTTCACAGACCCTCCATTTTCTCTTAACAGTCCACCGAGCGTGCGTGGGTAACGATAAAAACAGCGGGGAATTAAATGACCGCTAGCGCAAGGGAGTACGGCTGGGAGAAAGAAGAAAATATTTTTCTTTCTCGCGCTCCGCGCTCGCCGATTATCAAAAAGAAAAATAAAGCAACGTCTGTGTACAGGCAATTCCTGCAGGTTAAGTAGCCTGCGAAAACAGCCGTCGCTCCTCGCTGCTGGAGACGTTTCGCAGGTCTCTTAGGAAACGCCTCTGGAAGCGAGGAGCAAAGAGAGACGGCTGAATTTGCAGGCGAGCTAGTGGAGTTGATAAAGAAATAATGATCAAAATGATGACAATGAAGACATTGACAAAAATAACGACAATAGGAACCTTAAGATGCGACGACAGCAATGGCAACGAGACCGTCAAAAAAACAATAGGTTTAATGAGCAAAACAAAAACTCTGCACGTGCATCATGCTTTTTTGTACATTTCATTTGCCGTCACTGCACGACTACAACGTGAAAATGCCTAACTGCACATTTTATGGAGGACGTAAACTGGTGACAAGCGACGATGAAATTTTCCTGCTCTTTATGAACTTGCATATGGTTCTTAGGAATTTAACTCCGGCAGAGTTCGCTTACATTTGGCAAAGTAAGCACATAGATATAATCCCGATGAAGATTTTAAAACTTGAATTCACTTTTAAACGACGTTTTCACTGCCGTCCACATCCTCTCATCTTAAGCTCCCAAATGATAATGATAAACCATGAAAATACTAAAGAAAGTACTGCTGTTTCAGGCAAAAAAGTGAACTCTACCATAAAATCAGTACACTAACTTAGCCTTGATAAAAAATTGAAGCACAAAACTAATGGTACATGTACGACACTAACCCTTCTTCTTTTGCTTTTTCTTCACGACTTTCTGAGTAACATTCTTGCCCTTTTTCCAGTCAATGTGACATCTATCAAAAAAAAATATGCCAAAGGAAATTGTATGCTTAACAAGTTATAACTACTGAAATACTATGACACAGGCATGCCCTGAAGAAACAATGAGAATTTTTCGCCAGTTATAAAGGCGTGCTCACTCGCGAGCATGGGTTACGCGTAGTGTAACTCTGAAAAGAAAAACGAGCGACTGCTAGACAGTCTTGTAGTAAACATACCCTGAAGTGCTGATTATTTCTGGTCCTTCAAAGGAGAATGGGTCATCATCATCTGGTTCACATTTCATTTTATAACTTTTTGTCAAAACCTGTAAAAAAAATGACAGGCAAAAATGCAGAGTTCTTTAATTTCCTTTGCTTTATTTGCACCAAACGAAGGAGATGTCTCTGCGCATTTTAAGCAAATTATAACAACTACTACCGAGAGTTGACTGATTCAGCCAGTCGAAAATGAAACCGCATCATGGCCTGTGCAGTCCCTGTCTGTTTTGTGATGGACATTTTGAATTTTAAACACGCCTTTACGAAATAGATTTCTTTTTAAATAGTAGCACAGATACTTTCATATACAATCATGCAAGGATGCAGGTTATGTTGATTCCTTTTATCTGTTGCCACTTGCACGTATCTCTCAATACACCTTGTTTGCCTACCTCGCCCCTGCCAAATTTAGCCCATACATGTATTTTCAATTTCTCCTGGTTTATGTGAAACGCACAAGTAGTAAATAACAATCATAATCAAATGCTGTAAACAAACTAACTGATTTGTTACTACTTACACTATTTGTAAAGAATGGGTTTGGTGAGAAGTGATATTCCAGAACAAAGCCCTAAAAAATTAAAAATAATAGTAAATAAAATAATACAAAAAAAAGTTCTAGTTCTTTTTACTGCAAATTAGTAATGTTCTAAGAGATGATTCAGCACTATAACCCACCCTACAAGCAGAGGTTTCTTTCTGGCATCACTTTCAGCATGTACAAAGTTGTTCGTGTTGCTTGTCAGTCATGTAGTTGGTTTGTTTACACCCCAAGAGAAAGCATTGTCAGTTATCAAATACTTTTACATGCTATTAACAAGGGGGGTTAGGGCCATTTATGGCAAATATGGGCTATAATAACATTTTACACGAGTGACACTTTTAATACAACTGAAACCTGCAAACGAACTTAATAATCTAAAAGCAATAAGTGTAAGCTTTCTTGAGCCTCAATGCGCTAGATGTAAGTACCCACATTAATGAGGCAGTTGCATTTTGTACCAATGTACAGAGTTTGGTATCTTTGAAATAACAACTGTATCAGTTTGTAATAGAGGGCCATGTATGCAATGTTGATGAATTCAGCAGGGGCTGGTAATATAACTGTCTGTAATAGAGAGGTGTCAGTATTATAGAGACCAGAATCTTTTAAAGGACTGGCTAACCTGTAGATTTATACTCGCTTGCAACTATAATTCATGTCACAGCAATTTAACTTTACTGAATTGATTTGACAAGGTTCTTAACTGAATAATATTATTATAAACACACCATAGGAGTTGGCTGTGGATACTGCGTTGTATCTACATTGCTGTCAGGACCAGTAAATACAACTCTGATATCAAGGAGATGCTTTAAAATTGGTTCATCATGTTCCTGAAAGATAAAGGAAGAACATTTACACATGAGGTATATTTGCCACTACATCATCAAAATCTGCACCACTCCATCATTTTAACTCACACCTGCCACAACTAAATAATTATCAAATACTGTTAATAACATTATTAGGACCTTCAGGAAATCCAGGACCGCCTGGCTATCATCAATCATTCTCATTATCATCACTCCCTATCATCAACATCTGCAACTGGGCCCAAAAAAGTCACTGTAATTTACAAAACTCTTTAGCTGTTCTTTAACATTTTAGCGCAGTATTTTGTATCCAGATGTTTAACGAATTCGCTTCTTATCTAACATAACATGACAAACCTGATAACTGAAGATGTCGTTAAATTATCAGCAATTAAGAGATCCACAAACCTGGATCATTTCAGCTAACATATCTACATTCTTCATTGCTGTCAGCCAAAACTCTGGAATGCCCTTCACATCATCTAATTCAAAACAAATGAAAAAAAATGAATAAAAAAGAAAAGGAAACAAAATTAAGGCTAAAGGTGAGGCTCCCATTAATGAATTTATAATTAATTTACTTCAAACAATTAACTTGTAACCATTGCAAAAACATCCACTAGGAGATGAGCCTGTGATCAGCTGAAAACTAGAAACTTGTCAATCCCTTGCTGGGTTGACACCTGAGCATGCAATACAGTCATGTGATACTGGTCAGGAGACACCCTGATTTGTCAACAATGGGGATGTGCAATATCAGGTTGTAGGCTCCCACAACAACAACAACAACAACAATAAGCTTTATTTTCTTATTTGCTCCCACACTAGCTAGAAGGTGTGGCATTTCACATGTTCGCACAGGTTTCCCTGTGGTGCAGATGGACAGACTGACAGGCCAACATACAGTCCAGTGACTACCAAAATTTTTCAGATGGATAGATAACTTAATTTACTTAGCCATGGGGCTCTGCTCATGTGCCAGTACCATTCATATAAAACCTCTTTGGCAAAACTTTTGAATAGTTCTATTTATTTCCTAGGATTTTACAAAAAAAAATTGAATCACTGGTCACTATTAGAAGAGTAGGGGGTTAATAGTATTTTTAATTTCTAAGTTATTCACACCTGGTATCTCTGTTGTTTCCAGCTTCTCCTCTTCATCTATTTTGACTTTCTCTTTCACTTCACCCTGCCGGGAAGAGAGAGTTTTGTCCTGTAAAATTTACAGAGCTGAATGTAAAGTATCCTATAAGGTTACAATAATGCTAATTTTTATACTTAGCTACTAGCAATGAGCCTGATAGATTGAGAAAAAATGCTGACATTTTGTGATGCAACAAAAAGAAAACTGTCAACATTTTGCCACCACTGGAAATTCCATACTGATGATGTGTCACTACCTAGCCCTGGGTAGCGAGACTTCATCAGTATTGAAGTCTGCAGTCGTTCCTCAGACATCATTTCGCGCGAAAACCAGCGGTGGCAAACATAACACATTAGTCTTCTGTATCCTAGGGTAGATCTATGTAAAGTTAAGTTAAATTGTACAAAGTGTAGAAACAACTTGATTTCAAAAGTAGGTTGAGTTTGATTGTCTGGATGAACGTAGTCCTGAATAGGACTGTTGTTGTTGACACTGACTGATGTTTCGACAACCTGTGCGGTAGTCATGTTCAAAGTCAACCGCACAGGTTGTCGAAATGTCAGTCACTGTCAACAACAACAATCCTGTTCAAGACTATGTTCACCTGGATGATCAAACTCAACCTACTTTTGAAATGACTCCTGGATTCAAACCTTTCACAACTTGATTTCAGTTGCAAAATGCCCATTGGTCAAGAACTCTATACAACTTTAACACCAGTCATGACTAGATGTACTTCTTCTATCCATGTACTCAATACTCAATACCCATACCCAGAGGGTAGAGTAAAATTGCTACTTGGGCCTAAGTTGCACGCCTCAAAACTCTTATAATGTCCTAAATATAAGCCAAGGCCAAGGGGGGAAGGGGGGGGGGGGGGGGGGGGGGGGTTAATAAAAAAGAAAAAGAAATAATACAGAGAAAAGAATTACATATAGATTAAATAGTTGTGGGATCTTTTTTATTAATATTTTTTTTTTTTTTTTTGATTTAATTATTAAAAGTTGCGTGCCGGGGCCCGCGGTGGGGGGGAGGGGGGGCTGTATATCGGCCGCTTCCGGCCCCCCCTGAAGAAATAAAAAAATTAAAGAAGGAAGGGGGGGGGGGGGGGGGGGGGGGGGGGGGGGGGGGGCTGGGGTTACAAAAAGAGAGCTTCTCCAAATTTTAGATCTCCAGAGGATGGCATCTCTGCAAAATGCATCATGAATATGATACAAATAATCCTATTTAAATCAAAGTTCTCTTACAGAAGAATACTGTACTCTTAACTGTTGCTAGAGGAAATAACTGGAGAGTGGTAAGGAGAATTTGGGGGGGACAGAAACTTACAGAGAGCTGTGAGACATCTTCTTCATCCTTTTCCTCTTTGTCTTCTCCACCTTCTTCCTCTTCATCACTCAGCCAATGGGACTCTTCATCTGTTGGTTCATACTGACCATTGACAATGTTTTTACGCTAAAAACAAAGACAGGTAAAAAAAAAGAAGACAAAAAATGCAAATATTCAGCCTTAGTTTACATATACCAACTTATGACTGATGCACAATAAAATCCAGCAAATTGTAGTTACCAAAGTCAAAATTTGAAAAGATTTTCAAAGTTCATTACTACAGACAACAATATATTTTCACCTCACCTTTTCAAATAAGGGCTTAAACCTTTCAGCAAATTCACACTCAAGAGCATGAACCCTCTCATAAAATTCACCTTCCACTTTACAATATTCAACCTGTTGAATACAATAATTTCACACTCAAAACGAGCCTAAGAACAACTGAAATTTCGTGAAGCCAACAATAGTTTCCCTGAGAAATGACATCTGAGGAATGAGCACAGAAATTTCATACTCATGACATGTTACTACCCAGATCTGGATAAGGCATTTGATTAGTTGAAGTAAGTTTCCCTTACTGCGGCACAACTAATCAGAAGCAGTAGCCAGGTCTATGGGTATTGATATGTCATCAGTATGGAATATCTGCGTTTGTTTCTCAGATATCATTTTGCGAGGAATCCGTTGGTGGCACAGAAAAGTGTAGGCTGTTTTCTCAGGATTAATAAAAAACAAATTTTATTTATACAGTACCAGAAAATTTTAAATGCTTCTGTAATATTTAAAGGCACCCTTAATTTCATGCCGTTTATTTGCATTATCTTAACATTTTCCCCACTGAGTTTTTTTTTCCTGCAAATGCAAGGTTGTAGGTAATCCTTCTTCCTCAGATTTTTTTAAGGGGTCCTTCCCTGGGAATATAATAAAACCACAAACTCCCCTTCTCACTAGATTGAAATTCTACCACCTGAGCTTGCTGTGTGTCAGTTTGTGACCAACTCTTTCATCTTTTCAACAGGGGAAAGTGGGTGAAAATAACTTGTAAAAAGCCAGAGCAAAGGCGCTCATTTGTGAGCCACTAAACTGCTATGGGTTGGATCAGGAATAATCTGACCTGTAGGTTGTACTTGCTTGTATCAAAAAAAATGTACGTATCATCAATAAAATATAAGCAGGTGACCAGGTAATCGACTGTTTAATTATTCGCTAAGCCAGTCGATTTGTATTTTTGGTTTTACAGAGGTGTATATTTGACTCAACCTGTTTATTTGTTATGACTTTAATAAATTAATAATTAATGACATCACACCAGCTGGTCAATCTTCTAATGATTACGAATTTACTCTGAAAACTATAGGAAAAGACGAGATAAATAAAGTTCTGACCTGTATATTTTTTAAAGCCTTTAGCCTTCTTTTTACTGCTTTGGGCAAGCTGAAAATGAAGAAGCAAATAAGAGCTGTTAGTACAGTAAACACCCGCTATTAATTACCTGTGGATTAAGAACCTCCTTTCAGAAATTTGCCACTTAAATACCAAAAAATACAAGAACCTGTTTAGTCAAGCAAGATCAAGCAGGTTCTTATATGTGAGTTATTACAATAAACACTTTAATCAAGGAATGTAAATTTGAGTTGTAAATTTAGGTTTGACAAGAACAGACTGTACTAAATTGTATATGAATTCCGTAATCAGTTTTGTTAGGGTTATAATATTATTATAAAAATTAATTTTGAATAAATAAAAATATTATTTATTTTTCTGGAAATCAACAATCTGTTATTTCCTTCATAAAAAATTTTAAAAAACATACATACATACATACATACACACTTTATTCAAGGTAGCGTATCATAAAAATAAAAATACAGAAATACCCTGAAAAGGAAGTTAAAGAGGCAGACCCTATGTGAATTAACTTCCTAAAAATTAATAATTAATTAATTAGTGGGGGGTAAAATGTCAAGATAGATTGTTGACATGAAAGTGCTACTCCACCGCAAGTTTCACTTTAATCATTCACTTGTTACAGTTAGTTACAGAATTTTTGGGCACGTATCCATGGCCTGTAATATCATGCCTATTTGAACTATGTGTGCAAGTCCACCTAACTTGTTTTACAAACAAATAAAGTAATCAAACCTCTGTATGTATCCCGACTGTTGTCCTATTAATCTGCTAAGACCTCCCTGTTTAAAAACACAAAATCAAACAATGAAAATGACCAAAGTTTCTAACCATCACACTTGTTACCATCAACAATCAATACTACCCTCAATTCTTGACAGGTGAAAGTGATTGGCACAATTAACATCACACAATAGATCAATATCACCATACAAAATTGATAAAGTCATTGACTTCGGCATTATCAAGCCCAGCACCATATTAGTTGTTACCGGCAACTATAACAGCATCACCATGCACTCCACCTTTCAATACCATACATTTACATGTAATAGATCACAATGTTATTATTATGCAACCAATATATAATTATCCTTTTGCCATCACTATGTGCCACAGTCAACATCATCATCACTTTCATCGTTATCATCATCACATCCCTTCTTATCATCATTGACAAGCCTATTAACCCACAGAGATTAGAGACCTAATCACCGTCATGTAAGTAGTAAGTAAGTAACTAGTAAGTAATGAACATAAAATTGTTGCGATTGCATAATAGATATATTTTAGTGATATCTTTTACATTTCTCCTTACATTATAATAGTTTTTATCTGACTTATATTTCCTTAATAGCTTTGTAGATATTTTTAGGGGGTCATCTTACATGAGGATTCAGTTCCTCCCTGATGGCAGCCTTTTTGTATTGATTACAAATAAAGTTGTTATAAATAAATAAATAAATAAATAAATGTCCACAGTGGAAACAATCCCAAAGCTAAACACTATTAACATAACTAACCTGCAGAGCAGCTAAAAGTTGAGGATTCTGCATAACCGCAGCAGCAGTATCATCTGAAGAGAAATGATAAAAATAAAGTATAAACCAATGTGATTAACACTTCTGCTTCAAATCTTTATTACAGTGTAGGGTAGCAACATTATCTTTGGAGAAAAATTAAGAGAAGTTAAAAATTTAGAGTCACTTGTCAAAAATAATTAGATAAGTGGCTATTTACTTATGTACAGTAGAATACGGTCGATTTCTCAAACCCCCAGTTTTTTAACTTCCCAAAAATTGAAACCAAGTAAGCTAGCTCGTGTGATTTCTTCATTTCAACAGAACTTTGAATCGGCATTAAGTGGCCACCCTCGGGGTACCGGCAAGTGCCTACTTAATGGAGGTTGGCCGCTTGATGGAGGTTTATCATAAACCGGGTAATACATAACCATAGTCTTAAGCAGAAACATCACTTTATTTTAAATAAACATGGGACAGGGACAGCACTACTGGTCCACAATCAGCTGTCACCTTCCACCTTGGACTGTTTTTCATCATCATATTCTTAAAATAAAGCCCAACTAAGTCTGTCAAGTACTTGGTGGCTGCTATAAAGAGGTGAAAACAATAAGAGAACTCTCCTTGGGACGGCCATAAGGTGGCCACAGTTGCTTAATTGAGGTGGCAGCTTAACAGAGGTTTAATTTCCCATTCTTTTCTACAATAATATTGTTTCTAGACTTTTACTGGCCGCTTAACCCTGTAAGCCCTATAAGAGTGATCAACATCAAATTTCTCCCTGTTATATCAATACTTTGTAAAACAGAGTGGTCATGAGAATTAGGGACATGATCACACAAGATGAATTTGCTTGATATTTTATCAACATCTTCCTACTACTTCTGTAGGAAAATTATGAGTAGGGGCAACAAATGAGAATTCAAATTTTAATCTTGGGGTTTAAAGGGTTAATTTAATAGAGGGTGGCCACTTGATTGGTGGCCACCTAATGGAGCAAAAGGAGGTTCAACTGTATCTCATACATGTATTTCAACTGGGATTAATTTAGGTTTCTGGGAAGCTGACCACCTACCCCTCCTCTAACCCAACAATGTCATTTTTCCCTAAGTGAGAAGTAAGTGCTAATGATGACTTAGGGGAGGGGTAGGTGGGCAGAACTGTTTCCCAGAAAACTAAATAGATCCTTGAACTGAACCAAAACAGACCATTGTATCAAGCAATTACACGATCAGCAAAACCAAAAAGAAATAACACTAAGTAAAAAGATAATAGTCAAACGTTTTCCTCATCGGTAACACAGTAAGTCTACTCCTGAAAACTCGAACCTTGTAGGGAAATCAAAAAAAAGTTCAAGTTATATAATTATCGAAAGTTGGAAGCAAATAACTGGAGATAAGTAAATGGATGGGGAGGGAATGCAAGTATTATGCAAACTTCACTTCAAGGGCAGCAAGAGATATAGAATGACGCTTGGAAAAAGGAATTAAACAACAGAGAATAATGTATAGGGATTTGAACTGGAGTGACAAAAAAGTAAAGACATAGAATTGACACAGTTGTTTTAAAATGAATCAGTGTTTCAGACTTCAGTACGCTGTTATTTCCCACTTGTCCTTCACTTTAAACATGGTTCAAATTATCGAAGGTAAAAATAAATACAAAAGACCTGAAGGGAAATAAAAATTACTTTGAGTTTGCGGGATTTTCAAGTTCTTAAGGGTTCGAGTTATCGAGGGCAAAATTGCTGTAAATGCATGAAGGAAATCTAAGGGAATTTGACCTTGGGTCAAGTTAGCACAAGGTTCGAGTTAGCATGGGTTCGAGTTATCAGGAGCCAATAGTAAAAGCATGGAAAACAGTGTAGAGAATAGTGTTCACACTGAGCTAGACTTACTTGGGGGTGAGCTGCCTAACTGGTCCCCTTCACTACCAGAATCAGACATGATGTTTAGCTAAAACAAAAAAGGAAGCCACCAATATTAATTACTCCTAAAATACTTATATTTTCCTGCTCCTTAGAACTCAATTCAAAGGATCAATAAAAATTGGAGTCGACATTGGCAAAGAACAATATGATTTTACTTGGAAATCTATATGGTTTACTCCAAATACACACTGTTTTGTTTCTTACTATTGGGTAGTTTAAGTTGATTTTAACTTCAGCCCACTTATCTTTCTTGGGATGATAAGTACGTAGTAATATTATCTTAGTTTTAACTGTTTTTTAGTGCGACAGTGCCTGGTGGTTGCTGCATACATGGTTTCCATGGATACCCTACACATTCAGCTCAGTTTTCTTATTAGTGGCTCCACCTTTCCTTTTCAGGCACCATTCCTCAAGCTCATTTACCATTTATGGGCTTAACAGAGCAAAACAAAAATAGTTTGAAGTTTATGTTTAAACTGAGATCATGGTTTGGGCCTTAATTTATTTAGATATCCTTACCATGATTTCTACCCATGAACTCAAGTAAAATAATACATTAAGTGTCATGTAACTCTGTTTGAATGAAGCAGTACTTAACATATAAGGTATGATATGAACCAACAGTCACTCTACAGTTTCTTCTAGCACTAAATCAGGTACAGGAAGCCTTCTTATTGAAAGCACACTGGATTTGATATGTTAAGAGGGTAGACTCTCAAATTTTTTTTTTTTTCACAGAGAAAGTCCTAGCCCAGATGGTAAAAATTCAGCAAGCAATTATAGTACATTCTCGGGACAACATCTAGATTTTTATTTTATTTTTTTTTCAAGTTAATCCCTGAATACCACACCATTTTTTGCAATACCAGAAACTGACTTTACTAATCAATAAATCTTTTGTTATTCAAACTTTTTATAAGCTTACTTATAAATTTGCCGTTCCGAGCCACTGCTGACCTAATAGACATGTACATTTCAATGTCGTCATGTGCAAGTTATGTTGTACATATCATTCGACAGCTGAATGAAACTTGCAATCGGACTCTAACAGACTTCTCTGACTCATAACTAAAACTGGAAAACCTTAAGAGTCAAGCCCTCACAATTGACAAAACCTGTAGAGAGGCGAAATATTTAAGCTTCTTCTAACATCAATCGTGACAACTAGGCTGTACGTTTGGGACACATCGTTTCAAGACAAATGAGCTTTTACATGGAAATATTTGGCTTGCCAAATAATATTAGCGATTAAGTTGAAACTTGTATCTAAGCTATCTTCACAGCCCACCTTTGGAGGAGTTCTTTGGAGTGAAAAGAAATTTCGGCCGGTTTTTTTCGTGTGGTTCTTGCAACCCAAAGCCCACTACTGCCCACGAGGTGAAGAAAATTATCACGCGCGCCAGCGATTCGGTCAGCAATATGAAACGTTGGAGACTGGGACGAGGAAAAAAGCCCGCCCAAACTTTCCCGCAAGATCCCGCGGATCCCGCGGGCAGGCCACTACAAAGCGCGTAATATGTGCGCGGCGTCCCTTATTGTTCGCTCTCACTTTAAGAATTTCTGGGTGGGGATGTGCCGCTGGGACCCTGGAACCCTTAACCTATACCAGAGCTAGTTCAACTGAATTTTGCTACCCTATACTAGAGTAAACTCCCCAAATTCCCTCTATGGCCCCTCTATCCTAGAGTAGCTGTTTTCCAGAAACTACTGAGGTCACTAGCACAGTCTAGCCAAAACAAAACCTTAAACCACAATCCATAGTCTAGATAAATTCTTCAACCAACTGATCAGTTTCCTGAAAAACGATACCCTATTCTAGACCCAAACGCTCTGATTTATGTACCCTATCTTAGAGTAAACTGCTTGAAAACCATACCCTTCACAGCGGCACATAACTATATAGCCTATATATGGCAGTAACCCACCCCCCCCGGGCCACTATTTCTCTAAGATTTTTGCATACAACAATTAAGAGGCCTTTCAAGGTTGTTTTTATTGAGGCCGATTATTTTCACCCTTTTAGGAGAAGTGTATGAGCTGAAGCAAATATACCCTCCAACGTTTTCAAAGATATTAAAGAAGGCATACGCCTTTCACTATGAAAGCCACTGCGCTGGGAACCACAGATCATCCCGATCGCTCTAACATAAAACAGTTTAGCCACAATTTCTAAAATAAAAATGATTGTGACCAGCTCCTGCTATGACATCATAAAAAGTAAAATAACAGTTCCTTGAATCAAATATCCGTGTTTGATCCTCACCAGCTGTTCACGAGGGTCTCATTTTAGCAAAACACCCACGCATATTTTTCGATTGATGTCACCAACCTTATCCTGACATTTAGTGGCGTGACTTCATTTCTCCATATAGTTGCCCCCCCCTCCCACCCTACTCCCAAACCAAAAATCGATCTCATGAAAACCTCGCGTGCAAGAGACAGCCAATAAGAAAGCGCCGTCCCAGGGTAGTCATATAGGCGTTCCTTGTCATTTCGTATGCCACTTCGTCCTTACGTTTTCTTCAAAGGACTCTGATCTTTTCAAACACCCTTGGATTTTCAAGGTATGTCACGTTCACTTTTAATCGTAGATGCATCTGCTGTAAGACTGTTTATGTTCTGTGCAATTGTAAGTTCGAATCTAGGGCTTTTGGACGAGGAAAGGAGATGTTTATTTTGAGAGACGCTAGCTTTCGTGCATAAATGAGTGGCGATCGTGAGGCACGTACATGCGGCATTCTGTTGAAGTCAAATCACTTGGAAAGTTCCATTTCCTTGTCTTACAACATGCATTTCAAATGTATCCTTTCAGTACGATTGCAACCTAAGAATTAGTTTCCGCTTTGAAATTTTGCCAAGCAATCATTTCGCCATCACAAGACGTACAGCTGCAGAGAGACGTATAATTTCGTGTTTGCTTAAGACACTCTTTAAGTTTGTATCTCTTATTGAGACAAGCGGCAGTTTTAATTGCCCTGCTTCAACCTTTAAAAATCATTCACTTCTTCTTTCATAATCGAGCTTAACCCTTTTCATCAAGGAATGTTTCTAGTACTTGCTGTAGTAACTAAGGGTTACTTGAATGAAAAAACTTGCTGGTTTGACCTTTTTTTCAAACACAAGTCTTACATAATTTCACTGTTTATTCATTATGCATCAGAAGTGCTCCAGATGTATTTTTCTCTGACAAAAACATACGTGTACATGTGAATTTGATAGCCACGGCGTGAGCGGAAAATTTCAACTGTTGATCATTTTCGCCATATTGTCTACAGAGCGACATTAAGAGCTCAATTATATCAGCTTACTGATAAGCTATTTTTGTCGGTGAATTCATTTTTATTCGGGGAAAAGTGAAAATTAAGTTTGTGACCGCAAGCTTTCGTTTTACACTGACACAATTTTGAAAACTTCACCTATTTTAAGTTTGTCTTTCGCTGAAAGGGACGCGGTTGTTTTTGTTTTGTTTACAATTTTTGGTATGGTCTTCCAAAAGCAATTTAAAAACAAAGAAAATTCTGGTCATGGATGGCGGAAAAACAATCAATATTTAGACTATTCATTTGAATAATTATATGATTTCGACCTGTCTTTATTTTTTTTACATATAAACTAGAAAGACCCTAATTAAGAATACATTAATATTATGTTTTAAATTTAAAAATTTAAAATTTATATAAACCTTAATCGCATGCCGGTTTGCTACTTTGTCTGTTATAACCTGCTTTAATAGACAGAACAAGCGTGAAGTTAACAAAACAGTAATATGTATACCTTTATTGAATGCAGTTTTACTTGCTTTAAGGCCTCGCGCTGTTCACATGAATTTAGAAACAGTTCAATGTTTTAAACTTGAATCAGCTGTCCATCTACATGAAACACATGAACCATTTCTGAGGGGGTTGTAATGGGGTTACAAATACTGCAAAACCGCTCAGAAATACATGTAAACACCACACAGAATAACATAAGAAAACCACCAATGGTATTGAAATGACCCGAAAATTTCTGAATACCGCAAACTGCTTGGTTTTGTAAAATCGCAAGACCGCAACTTACAGCTGTAAAAAAAAAAAATTCCATAAAACAGCACCAAAAGTCGAGGAAAACCGCATCACCACAAACCCTTACGCCCCCCACACATTTTTTTTAACCCAGGGCTGTCAATAAGGGCCGGTAGCTGCCCAAAACCGCCGGCTAGTTAGCTATCCTTAGGTGGCTACTTTCATCTCCTTCTACCATAACTGATAACAAAAAATAAGAAACATCAAATAAAATTTGTAAAGCATCTGTTTCCCAGGTTTGAATGACATTGAACGCATATTTAAAGAGGTTTAGATCTGCCCGTTCGAACCGTGCAATGTCGTGGAACACCAGGAACATTTTAACAGCATTGTTCTCAGTCTTGCATGTATTCTTACGAAACAACATGGCATCCGCATTGGAAATTGCCTCTTGAAAACCCCTGGAAATGGCATTTCCGAGACTCTTAATGTCAAAATGTCCCTAGTTGCCCCCGGCCTTCCAGAACTTGTGCCTTTGGTTTGAGTTCCAAAGCCGCCTTCTATTGATTATCAGCCTGTTACTTAAAAACTTTTTGACAGCCCTGTTAACCACTCTCCAGAGTGTTTTTTTTTTCAGGGTGTGATGGATAAATTTGCAATTGTGTGTAGATGATTGAAACAAGACATTTTTCATTGCAAGTTTCATTCTATCTGGATTCATGTAGACAGGGCCTAAGAGTTAGTTGTCGGTTTCCAGTAGCTGGACTTTTTTACCAGCTGGACAGAGAAATTAAAGCAGCTAAAATCACGGCTAGGTTACTAACACTCGCCTTACTGCTGCTGTCTTTAAAAGTCTTTCAAGGTTTTTTCGAATAAAAGTGCATGGGATGACAGACTAGCACAAGAACTAACCAATATCAATGTGACCTTTCTAAAGATCAACCAAACTAACTTTCTGATATTTGTCTTTTGCATTTTTTTTAATTTACCAGATTCCTATGTTTATCTCAAAACAACAACAACCTCTTGACTGTTTCTGAATTTTTCATTCAACTGAAACAGTTTGAGTGCCAGCACACTCACCTGACTTTCATTCTATGGCCTTGACCTTTGTCATGATCTCTAGCTTGGCTAAAATTTGCACTCCCTTTGAAGGCAGAAAAAAGTTGCAAAACCAGAGTTCATTTTTACTCCTTTTGTATTGCGTAGTCAGACAGCTTAATTATGATATAAGATTGTTGTACATGTATGACTAAAAAAAGAATGAACAGATTTATTGGTGTAGGAATTTTTGTATTTGTGTAGGAATTTTTTTTTAATATCAACATATGTACTGGCAACTGTAAATATTGTTTTTCTACTCCATGTTCTCTCAATATTTCTATACATGTACACTGTATTTTTCCGAAACAAATTAAGTTGGAAATTTCTAGTTTAGGTGTGTGCAATATTGACCTCTCCTTTGTTTAATAGAGACAAGTCATTTTCTTTTTGTATTGAACCTAAGCGTCTATGATGTTTGTCTGATCCTTTCCTGCCCACCACTTCTGACTCACATACAGTTTTTCTTACTTTTCGTTTTATAGCAGTTGTCTGAAAAGTATGGAAGGTGCTGCAAAAATTATCAAGTTCTTGGTTGTCTTCTTCAACTTCATTTTCTTTGTAAGTAAAACTTATTTGGTTGTTTCAACCCTTAGTTGTGTATGTTATAACTATTCATGTGCGGGTCAGTTTTTGTGTAAATTTTATTTTGTCTTAAAACTTTAAAATTTTACTCAGATGCCTTTTCATTTTATTTCAACCTAGGCCCAGCTCAGATGCTATGCTTCACATGAGCTGAATCATTTTCAGTGAATTAAGTTCATGTGAAGTATCAAAGCATCTGAAACAATTGGAAACAGCCAATTGAAATGGACCGCTGTTGATTCAGATGCCTAACTTTGCATGCATTAGCGGAACCAGATGTATAAATTTTTAAAATGTATTTTCAATGCATGTTGACATTTCTCATTTTGAATTTACAGTCAACTCCTGATGACTCCAACCTCCCTAACTTAAACCTCGCACTAACTTAAACCAAAATCAACTTCCCGTTGATTTGATGATTCCTTCATACATTTACTGTACTTTTACCCTCAGTAACTTGAACCCTTGATAACTTGAACTGCCGGCGAAAATTGCCGCCTACTTGGTTCGTATTGGCCGGCTACTCTGCTTGGCATTTCTTTATGGATGACGTTTTTTAAGTAAAATATCCCTGGACTGGCCGCTTCCATTGACAACTCAGCCATCTACTTCAAAACTTTCTGATCATGACAACCCTGCTACATGTAACTCGAAGTAACTTTTGTTTGCCTTCAGATCATTTCTACATGTATATAATTTTACCCTTGAAAACTCTTACCATGTTTTAAGTGCTTGACAAGTAAAAAAAAAGCAGTGTACTGTAGTTTGAAACATTGAATTTATTTCTTCTTTACTTCACTTTTTGTCAGTTCAGTTCAAAAGTGTTCAACCATGTGATATTTAGTCAAGCTTTGGTGCTTAATTCCTTTTTTTCAAAATATCAACATATCTCTTGCTACCTATGAAGTGAAGTGTGCATGATACTTGCATTCCTTCCCCATGCCATTTGTTTATTTGCTTATTTCTGGTTACTGTAAGTGACCTACACATACAACGCCCACTTCCAAATAGATGCCCCTCTCTAATTAATGCCCTCTGTCCAATAGGTGCCCCCTAGGAGAATTACTCCAAACTAGTACTAAGGATTAGCAAAAAGGGAGCCGTGTCCAGCCCTGGCCATGAAATCCAGAGTTTCTTACCTTTGTACTTACAGGTGTAGTTCCACACTTCTCAGAAGTGTGGAAAAGTCTGACAAAGTTAGGATATTGTTGCACTTTTCCCCCAGTCACAAACCCTTTGTCATTCCTTCAAAAAGGAGTAGAATCATTCAATTCATTCAGTTTTGTGCTTGAGTAACGAGGCTGTGCACTTTTTATCTTGCTCAATGCCAAATTCAAAGTAGTGATAGACTTCCAATGGCAACTTAATAACCTGGAGCAAGGATTCTGACATCCATATTAGGATTTGAAAGAGGGATATGGATCCTTAGATGGCCTGACTTAATCAATTGAAAGAGTGGATATTATTATTGATATTTTTGCCAACAGCATATTAGTTTTCTTGAGCTTTTCAGTTACAGTAATGAGAATAAACACCCCTCTCTTTAAAATGCCTCCTATCTATTAAATGCCCCTACATGATGTACTTGGACCCCTAAAATCAAATAGATGCCCCAGACAATTATTAGGTCATTCATACTCCCAATAACTCTTTTCTTTTTCAATTTCCTTAGAAGGTTCAAGCTTTCCGGAGTTGACCGTAGATAGGCTGGAAGAAAGATTGGTGTCTAAATATAATTCAGCATGTACACCTAAATTAATTTTGGTTGGCCTCGAATTTAAATGTGATGTCACTCATGTGAAGTATGGCGTCTGAACCTGGCCTTAAGGTGGCTTGACTGGATTTTTTAGAGGGGATACCTCCCAAGTTTGAGCATTAACTACGTCGGCATGAGTAAAGATATGGGAAAAAGTTTACCACAACTGTATTATATAAAGATGGAAATTTCTTATGATGAGGGTTTTATTGCAATCGGAGTCGCCATGGTAACGAAATGACGCCATTACCTTTTTTATTTATCTTTTTGTTTCTCTGTACTGGGAGGTTTTTTAAGAAATCGCTTAAGGGAGTATGTACCTGCTATAATTGCCTGAATTATTGCAAAGTTTGAACAAATTCTATGAGAACGTTTTGGAAATACTTTGAAACAAATTTTTAAGAATCATAAAAACAGTGAAATAGCATGCTATCCACCCAATTGGCTAATATTTTAAGAAAATGATAAGCTTTGGAAATAATTGAATAATGAGGATGCTCACTTGTAAACACAAAATCTGGGGGGAAAATTGGTTATATTTGAGGCCCTATTTAAAAGCTTCCCTGTTTTCAATGTTCTTGAAACTTGCAGCGTATATTTATTGATGATTGATCTCGGGATTGTCAAGTTTATAAAAAAAAATTTATCAAACAGTTTTTTTAATAATGTGAAATTTGTAGGCATGGACCAAATTACGCTCAAAAACTGTAACAAAAGCAGCTGAATGCAGGTCAATCAAATTTGTCTAACTCGTGATCGCCCAGAGCAATTCCCCTCCTTTTTTGTACGCGGTTTTCAACGAAAACAAACCACTATGAGATGAAGCCGCGTTTCCAAAGCTTATCATTTTCTTAATATATCAGCCAATTGTGCGGATAGCATGCTATTTCACTGTTTTTATGATTCTTGAAACTTTGTTTCAAAATATTTCCAAAACGCTCTCATTTGTTCAAACTTTGCCATAATTGAGGCAATAATGGCAGGTACATACTCCCTTGAGTGATTTCTTAAAAAAACTCCCAGTACAGAGAAACAAAAATGTAATGTAAACGTAATGGCGTCATTTCGTTGCCATGGCGACTCTGATTGCAATAAAACCCAGGTCATAAGAAACTTCCACCTTTCTATAATACAGTTGTGGTAACCTTTTTCCCATATCTTTACTCATGCGGACGTAATTAATGCTCAAACTTGGGAGGCATTCCTCTCAAAAAATCGAGTCGAGCCACCTTAAATGTGCATATACAATACCCGAGTAGGATAATTAAGTATTGCATCCTACACAATGAGCAGTGACGTTCACCGTTTCGGCTCTCACTGCTATCCGTGACACAAGCCATTTATTAGCATAATTATTCCAGATATTTCTTTGGAAAGTAATCGAGAGTTCCTGTGATGCAAATTATTCTTTTTGCTAGATGTGCACGTGCATTTGAAACTTGAAAACAATGCCATGTAGATTTTGCTTCTTTAAGGCTGACTAGTATTATGTGCCTTTGTTTGTCTACCCTGTAGGTGTTCGGCATTGTCCTGATTGGCGTTGGAGCATGGACTCTTATTAAGTTCGGTGACTATATCACCCTTACAGATGATATCCCTTATGCGACAGGATCCAAAGTTACCATTGCTGCCGGCTGCCTTATTGCCTTAATTTCATTCATGGGATGTTGTGGAGCCTGGAAGGAAAATAGGTGCATGCTGGTCATTGTAAGTTCTGATGCTCGAGGGTATTGCCTATTTTGGATTATGCAATTATAAATATTAATGCAATCAATTAATTAATGACTGTGAAATAGCTATAGAAAATTGAAACTTTTAGACACATGTTCAGCTGTGGGGGCGTAAAATAGAATTCACCACTGTCACATTGCCCATTCCGTGTAATACACCTTGTTAACCCCCCAAAATGTTGTTGCTGGTTTGCAGACGGGCTTACTGTACCATATATAAATCTGCAGGTTATTAGGCCCCCCATCTCAAGGAAGAAAGTTATTGAACCCCTTCTCTCATATAAGCTTCCTTCCCCCCTTCTCTATTAAGCCCCCTTCACATTTGTGTGAAATTAAAAACGTCCCAGGGGAGGTTAAAAGAGAATGCAGTGGACAGAGGTTTACTTATATCTGTGGCACAGGTTATGTGTAAACAAGAACACCTTGGCAGAGTTCATTTAGTCTTGCTTGCTTGGAGATTAGATCGAGAAATGAGGGGGCGATTAATTCTACACAAAACAGGATTTAATGGCTAAAGGTTTTTTACCCCCTAATTTATCGACATCAATACTTTTTATTTGTTTCTGAATCGATTTAGTACGTGTGTAAGCAACCACCGGAAATACATCTGCAGTTGCAGGCTATACGCATGTATAGATACACAAAAACTCAAGGGCCTCAATACCAAAGAAATAACATCATTGCCAGAGATCAAATAAGTGATTACATGTGGCATGTTATTTCAATAACTGCACGCTCATCACAAGAGCCTTTTGCATACAATGAAAGTTTGCAACACCCGACCATCGCAGTTTTGCTAATTAAGATTCTTATTTTTTTCAACCACACAGTAGTGTTCACTTGTTCCAAAGTAATCAGCACTTTCAAGCAATAGAATTTGTGGGCCAACACGTTTCGGAAAAGCTCTAAATTTAATCCTTCCTAGGTTTTCTTCGCAAAACATTCATAGCTTCCATCACGCAACGAGTCTTACTTCCACTTTCCACAGTCTCCGCTAGGAACGCCTGGCACAATGACCCCGATTTGTGTAAAAAAATACAAAGAAAAATGCATTGCAGATATGATTATGAGTCTTGCTGCTTACGCAAGCGAGAATAGTTAATGTTTTACCATATTATTTTAACTGTTTCTTTAAAATTCATGCGGGTTGAAACCTGTACATATGTAACATCCTTTTTTTCTATCTGTATAGTTCTTCATCTGCCTTCTTGTTATTCTTTCCGTGGAGATTGCTGGTGCTGCTTTGACGTACAAACATCGTGGAGAGGTAAGTTCTGTTTTCTGTAATTTTCTCTTCTCACAGGTGACCCATACTCACTATATCAGTGGTTGATAATACACGTAAGTTACTATGAGACAAGAAGTTATCAAATGCCTTGTGACAATTCCACCCTAAACTGATTGTGTACACTGTACCTAATGAAGTGCTTTAACTTATTCATAGTTTGATGAGAAACTGGATAAAGAAGTTGTAGAGGAACTGCAAGCACATTATGGAGAGAAGGGTAGTGAGGGGACTACAAAGGGCTGGGATGCTCTGCAAAAACAGGTAAAGAAACAGTTATACATTTAAAGGATCATGGCCAATCTTGATAAATTTCGCGTTGCAAACACAAATCCTGGGAATCTCATGTTACACAAAATTACTGATAGTTGTGAAAGGCTTTTTCAAAGATTAATAATAAATTGGTCTCTGTTGGAACAGCTCAGGCCATCTGTTGGAAAAAAAATTAATGTCATCCCTTATTTCGAACGACTCAGGCTGTTAGTATCCGTTTGAGAAAAATTTTCATCCATTCAAATGGTTTGGGCTATATCCATTTGAAAAAATTGTCATCTGCCGAAAGAAAATTGTCGTCCATTCATACAGCTCAAGCTATCTAATAATGTCGCCTGCACTGCTTTTCCAAATTAGTTTCACCCAAGCCATTTGCAACAAATCTGTCCAAAAATGTATATAATTCTTCTAAGAGTTGTTGACCATAACCTTGTGAATTCTCACGGTACATTTTCTGCTGAATAGCCTTCTTTGCTTTCATAACATTCCATTATTGGTACAAGTTTTAGTCAAGACTAAGTTATAATATTCCACAAATTCTGGAACAAGTTATCTTTTGACCTTATTGCATACTAATATCAAATGCTTTTGGTAGTCTCTATCTTCTGTGGAAACACACTCTCGCTGTCAATGAACTTTGCCTGTTCATCTTGTTTAACACCATCATCTTCCTTCACCATTTCCAGGTAAACAACACTAAAAGCTATTGCCATGGCACAGTTCTGAAAAAAAAAGGTTCCTTGCATCTTCACGGCATCTTAGATGTTATAAACTTGAATGCATGTGTATATTTTGTCCCATTACCTCAGCATCTCATGGAGCCGTACACATTTCTTTTTAGGTAAACCTGAAATGTCAATGGACTCATCCACTTCCATAAGAAATAACACTTATTGACTGAATTTGCAGGCGAACTGTGCAACCATTTGATGAGGAAAAACACAAATAGGACCACTGCTGACTAGCTCTGAATATTTCATCTTTTTGAGAGAAAGCCTGGCAAAAGCCTTCACCAATCAGAGTGTGCCATTGACAAAAGCACGATTTCAAACCAAAAATAAACAACCACGTTGCATCAAAGTTGGCAATTGGCTTTTAAGAATACGGCTTTGAGACTACAAAGATGATGAAATTGTGAGGATTATAACTCAGAGAATGCTGAGGCTTAGCTTAGTGTTTGTTCATTATTTATCAGAGTGGAGGATGGGTGAGAAAATGGGAGAGACTTGAAATTTTAACAAAGAGGGGGGTCACTTGGGGTAAATATTATTACAATGTGTATATTACATAGGGGGGCATTAAAATTTCAAAGAGACAAGGTCTTTAAAAAAGCAAAAAGATACTGAAATTCTCCCCGAACAGAATGGGGGACCCAAAAATCGAATCTTATTAAGGGGGTCACAAGAAAGGAAGATTTGTTAAATTCTTGACCTATCCCCCCACTGATAAATAATGAATGGTCCCGTAGGAAAAGACCAAACTTTTCATGAGACGAACCAGATGGTAATTTGGGTCGAGCTACATGTAAGTTAAATAGTCTGTTGGGTCATAAATTATCATGTCGATCTAATCAAACATCAAACCAATAAATATATTAGATTTATTAGACATCAGATTGGGCCAGCGGATTTTCACAAGAAAAAAAATTGGCCGCCTTGAATAACGATTTGCAATTGGTTGAATATGTCCGGTGTCTCATGAGAAGATTGAAATTTGCCCCCGGAATGATCTTCAGACCTTCTGTTCATCTTCTGCAGACAGATAGATTATGCTTGTTGGTCCAAACTCATTCATGTGAACTTTACTGAGACATAAAAAACTTTCATGTTTTTAATCCACCAGTTTGACTTGTCTCGTGAAAAGTTTGTTACTGCGTACATTTTCTGCGCATGCCAAGGTAGTCGCGCACGCGGACTGGTTTTGTTTCCAGTAAGTCTGTGAGGTTCTAGTTATTTCTTGTGGAAAAAATGCGTCGATTTTCAACAGATGAAAAATAATTTCTATTTATCAACCTGTATGTCATCAAGAGTCAAATGCACCTTGTCAGTTCTTTGAAAACCGAAGAAGTATGTGCATATTGCTATTTCTGCCGTATGATCGATCTGACCGAACATTTTGTAGTCAAACAAAAGTCAATTCTAAAACATCAAAAGTTATTGCTTCAAGATGTTATGCTTAGAGGTTGGGTATTAAAAAATCCCTTAATAGGCAAGGATCAGTAAATCAGGAGGAAAATAGCTCTGAGTCCTCTGCTTAATCGAGAAACTGCAACTGCTTACCTTTCACTCGCGTCCTTGGCGTTTTATCGGCTCTAAACACTTTCCCGAATATTTCTTTAATTTTGTAAGATTTTATGTAATTATTCACCAGAAGATAGATTTAAAGCGTTCGTGTACATACAGATGTCCCTTTTATTGAGAGTCCAAGGCTTTTATTTGTTGAACAAACAAGAAAAAAACTATCACAAGATTGCTTGGATTGCTGAGATCGCAGCTTCACAAATAGTTGCGGACTGCAAAGGAAACGCTTTCATCATGGAAAAAATCGTAAAAAATTGTTATGCTTTTTACTATTATCATTGTTATTTAAGCATTTTGGCATTACTAAGCATTAAAATTATTGACTCATTGGGCAGCTTGTCGTGTAGATAGTATTTCTTAAGGTTCAATCACGCCACACACAATCTGGACATTTAGACATGGCTACCATTTGGCTGTTTACAAACAGGATGGAAGGGAAAATAAAGTGTTTCCATTCTAAGACTTTCTTATGACTGTTTAACAGACACTGTTAAGTCTAAAATGAACATTTAGGAACGAAAAATAGTGAATGATCATGATACAGAATGCTACAGTAAAAAAAAATCAAAAGTAAATATATAAAAATTGATCATTATAGCCCAGTTTATACATGAGGGTAGATGAACGCATTCCGTACAACTACTTTCGCAGTATTCAGCTTTTTTAAAAGAGAGCTCATGTATGGAACTTAAGTCTCTTAAGTCTATGCAAATCATTTATGTCATATGACACTTGTGGCAAAGCCAGAAAGAGATAGTGCAGAGCAGAGATATAAGTTCATTGAATGTGGGCGAGTTTAATGACATATTCGATCAAGGTACCCGGTAAAATGATAAAAACGATAGAAGGTTTACAATCCATATTACATCTACAATTCAAAAAATCTTGAAGACATGTACAGGTAAGCAAACGATTGAAGGAGTACCTGTCTAAGAGTCCCAGTGGACTATTTTCTACTACAGTACAGTGGTTTGTTTACAGCACCAGCCTTGGATCTTTAGCTCGCCATACTTCTCTATGTGCGCTGGATGTAATCTTTAATACCTTGGAGATTGAGCACTCTTCTCCAAAAATTTTGTTAAATTTTTGAGACAGAGAAGCTCCAGTTGAATCAAATAGTATAATCTGTTTTCCTTAGAGTTCATGAAATGTCCTGCTTCACTTTCTGTTTTTGCTGTCTCCCGTGGGTTGTTGTTCGCTCTGACTGTTAGCCATTTTGGATATCCCAGAGTACTTCGCATTGAGTGAAGCAATAGTGAAAACTGACTGGGAAGGGGATGGGAAAAATTGTAAATAACCCCCAAAGCGATTAAGTTAAGGTCGAAACCAACCAATTTAACTTCTAAAAATGCGTGGTAACCCCTACTTTTTATCTTACCAAATGAAAGTAATAATCCTACTCAGCAAACAATCAATTTTTGGTTCGGGGAAAATGTCGTTTACACTATTTTTAAGGTAAACGCGTGGAGAGGGGTAACTGCTGACAACTTCCCAGTTGTGCTGATGTTTCAAAAAAAGACTTATAAAGAGCAGTTGTTATGTTACCATTTGTTGCTGATTTTGAAACCTTGTTACAATTATCATTGCATTTGTGCCAGTTCATGTTTGCACTCTGAAATTTGGGGGAAAATAACTTTTTATCATTTTTCTTAAAAATGCCTGTTCAGCTTTTTTCTCCATATTGAAGTGCAGTTTTCTCTGAAAAATGCATGGTTACCCCCAGTTTTCTTTTTGGATTTCAATAGCCACATAGTCATTCTCTGGGAAAAAATACTTCCCATTAGTGGGCACCATCCTTAAGTTGGTGTGTGTCAGAGAAGTGGTGCAAGAGAGTACCTATTTGTCTATTTTACATTCTTTGATTTGGTTCAGAATTTTCTGACCAAAGGAAGGGCTTTCACTTTTTTAATTTTAGGAAAAATGCTGTGGCTGGAACAGCTACACTGAGTGGTTTAAAGCAAAGGTTTTCAATGGGACGCACTATGTTCCAGACAGTTGCTGCAAAGAGGAAAAGACGGGCTGTGGACATGACGTTACAGATAATATTATTTACAAAGATGTATGTAAAGCTCTTGCCTTGTATGAATCTTTTTGATTTTTAAAACATTTGGCGGTAGGTAGGTACCAGTCACCAAGCCACAGTTAAACAAAAAGTCAATGGGCGATTCCAGAAAATATCCATACCATACCACGGACAGCTTTTAGGATTTCTGAAGGGGAGGGGAGGTGGGGGGGGGGGGGGCCTTAGTATAATTTTTTTGCATTTTAAAACATGTTACGGTAGGTGGTAACAAACCCCCAAAACAAAATTAAAAAAAAAAATAATGGGGGGATTCAAAAAAAGTTCCACACCAAACCAGGAACAGTTTTTAGGTTTTTTGGGGGGGAGGGGGGGGGGGGGGGGGGGGCGCTCACGGTTATGGAATTCTGAGGGCATGAGGGGAGTATTTACGGTTGGAAATCTGAAGGCATGGGGGAATTCCCCCAGGTGGGATTTCTGGAGTAGAAAGTGTAGAGTGAGTTCCTTGAAAATGCCATTGTTGTGGACTTTTGTAGCTCATAAATAAACCACGAACGTATGACCACAGAAGCAGAAGACAAACATCGATAGATCAGACACGTGTTTACGCTCATAACTTATAGAAGTGAACAGTAAAAGGTGGGTTTCACATTAACCTTGACGAATTTCTTGTCACATGAATAAAAACTGAAACTGTATCTTACCCCTTGCAAATTTCTTGTTGCTCCCGTCCGATGAACAGTAAAAAACTCGCACCAGTCCCTCGCTTCCAAGGAACGCCTGTCAGATTATTAAGCATTCGGACCACCGACCGCCGAAAGATTTTAACAGTCTGAATTTGAGCTATTTTGCTTTGTAACTGTCAAAACAGCACAAGAAAACAAAGAGGATTAAAATTACCGTAAGTGGTGTTTATTTTTATAGCCAAATTCGGACTTAAAAGGGAGTTTGCACAGCCTGGCCACTAGCGGTAGGTTTTTCTTGTCACTGAAGAGTAAAGCTTGTCGCCTGGCGCCGCTAGATCACAGCCTTGAGGACGCATAAATTCATGTTCGTTTGTTCATATAGGCGTTGCTAAGTCGAAAATGTACTTCCAAAAAGAAACGGAAATTCTGAAGGGGAGGGGGGGTTCATGATTATGGAATTCTGAGGGCATGGAGGGGTAACGCATTTTGGAATTTCCGAAGGCAAGGGGGGGGTTAAAACATGGAGGCTGTCGGTGGTTGGGTATGGATATTTCCTGGAATTGCCCATTTACCTTGGTAATTTAAATTAATTTTAACAGTGAAAGAGTGCATGACGACACTCACTCCTAGACTGACTCATATCACTTGTAAGAGGATGAATTCCATCATCTTAATTTCTGAATCTGTGGATGAAATCCTATGGTGTTACTATTCAAAGGAAACGCCTGTGGTTGAATTCTAGCATTAATAGAGGATATTACATGGCCAAGTGGAGATATGAAGTTTCTCTTTGAGTGTTGAAAAATATTTCACAAGGGAGTGCAGTGAATGAGTGAAATATTTTTTACAAGAAGAGAAATTTCATATCTTTAAGCGGCCTTTTGATGTTCTGTTTATTATATAAACACCCGTGCAATACCAAACCTTTTCACATTAATAGTTTTTTGCTGTAAAGGTGCGATTTATTGTGTAGCCATAGCAAGCATGATCTTTCACATGTGAAGATAACATGTTATTTTTACATGTGAAGATAACATGTTTTCGCAGGAAAGCTCATCTGGTATTTTACTGGAGGTAATCATTGATTAGGGATCCGCTTTCGTCACTTACAGAAAAATTACGGAAAGGAAATCGAGTCAAAAGGAGTCCAGTTTCCCGGCTGAGGTGCTCCTGATAAAATTAAAAGGGGCTGCTAATTTGCAGTCGCCTGTGAGAGCTCGAAAATTTCTGCCTTAGTGCCACAGGAACACCAGATTATGATGTGTCCTGACAAACGGAACTATTATTTTATATGATAATATAGCAGCAATAGTCTTTAATCAGTAACTTTGATCTCATCTAAAATTTCCCTTTGCCGTATATCAAACAAACCTGAGGATATTGAAAAAGAATCTTCTAGTTTATCAGCAAGCATTTTGAGCCCCTTTTCCATTGGCATCTCTCAATTCAATTTTCATTTCCCCATAATACAGTTTGTATGCACTCCTTAAGAAATATTAATAAACTTAACCCATTTGTGCTGCGGAAATTGTGCTGAAAGTGCCTGTTTGAAGCTAGTCACAGACAAGCTGTTTTCTGGTCACTGTCTGGCTTATAGGCACCAAAACTGCCCAAAACACTGTTTATAAATGAGAACCACTTATGCTGACTTCGGCTCCTAATCCTAAATATCAGCTCCTTAAGCGTGGGCATGTGTTGAAGGCAAAATCTTGAGATACAGTGCAGGCCAGAACGAAGTGAACAACGAAGATGCGAAACTGATGCAATGGACGCATCAGGTGGGATGAGGGTACGCATACGTACATGTAGCTTTGGGGTTTACAAAGGACACTGCCCTTTGACTTAAACCACTGGCTTTCTCTCTTCCCTGCTCGTTTAGCTTTTCTTTCACAATTTTCATTTCTTTTGCTAGACATGCCTTTACTAGGCCAAATTTTCTTTGAGAAATGTGGTGAAAATTGCAGGCAGTTTAGGCGTGAATGGGTTAATAATAAACAATGATTGGCTGAGGTTTTTGTGATATCTGGAATAATCAAGGTCAAGGTAAGCGTTATCAGCCAAGCCAAAGGCCGCAGCTGATAACACTTACCGAAACCTTGATTATTTAGGATATCACAAAAACGGAATCTAATAATTGTTTTATTATACATGTTTTTGAAGAAAATAACAACAAACACACCATCGCAAGAACCTGAATTGATATTGTTATTGGAAAACATGCATTAAGCTTGCAAACCACAGATTAGTCAGTTGTCTGCTAGCAGATAACTAACTATCTGCAGGTTGCGCTGATTTCCAATATTAACTGTAGGCTCTTAGCCAATGAGAAGACAGATAGTGAGTACAATGTATAATAATAAAAATTATCACCTGACTGTATGTAATAATTTGAAAGGAAATACTCGCAGCTTAATATAAATTGAATTATTTCCCTCTTTGAAAATCATCCCCTATTTTGGTAGCCTGATTCTCAGACGTCCGAGGTCGTTCGCGGTCCCTTTCGCTGAGAGGGAGGGAAGCGAAAGGGACCGCGAACGACCTCGGACGTCTGAGAATCAGGCTACTATTTTGGGTGATGTGACTTTAACAGTTAATAGATTATTATACTGTGCAAGTTAATTGTACATTTTGTCTGTATAATCATTTCAGCCCTGCAAAGAGAAGATAGAAAAACTTATGTACTATGTTGGTGCTGTTGGCATTACAATTGTCGTTATTCAGGTAAACTTATAACAGTAAAGTGATGTTTGCTGTTTAACCATTAGAAGGTTATAAATTTAATGCTCTTAAATGTGATTTATATCAACAAAGAGCGCTGCCTTGTGTTATTAGTCAGTCACCAGTCTGTCTGCTTGGTAGCATTGATGGCAGCCACTGCATTCGATTTACCTTCTGGATCTTGCAGTTACCCATTTGCCCTCATCCTTCCCAACCTTTATCTCTCCCCCCCCCCCCCCCCCCCCCCCCCCCTCCCCTTTTCTTTTTCCCTTTTTCGTTTTGATCTCTGTTTTTTTTTTTTGTTTTTGTTTTTTTTTTGTGGTCTTATTTCAATGGGCAACCACCCAACAAAACATGATAGGCACTGTGTCCAGGAGTACATACTTAAGTATATAAATATTTTTAATCTTAAAATGCTTATTAAAAAGAAGAAGATGAGTTGTCTTTTGTTTTTATATAATCAAACTAGTATTCTTTTATGACTAATTACGAACTCACTATTTTTTAATTAACATTTAATACCCTAAAAACCCCCATTACCCAACATCTCAATAAATTTTTAAATCCCCCCCCCCCCCCCCCCAATGTTCTTTTTTCTGTTGATTAGTCAGTGTGAGAAATGCCTGGTTTTAATGTTGGAGCTCATTGCTTGGAGGTGTAGATTCACCAGCCATGGGGACAAAACTCTATCCAGGGACTGGCTGACTGACTGTGCCATAAAGTGAAAGCCTTTGAAACTCTTAAATTACAATATGAGACAACCAATAGTACTAAAACTGAGGCACTTTTTCTCCTTACAAGGGTACATGGAAACATGTACGAGCAACATATACGGTAGGGGTAAGCTTGCAAGCAGGCTCTCTGGGGTACTTAGGAGACAGTGTAGCCTGTGTAGCAGGCGCTTGGAAGTAGTGGGCGCAAGAAAGAACGGGCACGTGAGAGAGAGACACGCAATGTGAGAGGGACTACTACTTCCAAGTGCCTGCTATGCAGGCTAGAGACACCGTGGCTGAGTGGTCCGTGCCTCAGATTCACAATCTGGCAGTCCTGGGTTCAAGTCCTGCTCTGGCCTCTTGCTGGATTTGTTCTCAGTCATACCGACCATAGCGAGTTCAAGTCCTCGGCCACGCTTGTAAATAGCCTGTTGGTTGTCTCCTACCAGTTGGGTTTTTAAATCCTGTGATGTTGTATTTGAATCATTTGTTTCTGATTAATTGAGTGGAGTGCCTGTAAACTAGCTGGATAAGTTAAGTGCACTTTCCACTATAAGCAACTCTTTTAAACCTGGCGGCGGGATGAAAAAGGACCCCCCAGGAGAGCTTGCTCGCAGGCTAACTGTGGGGAATACCCTTCAATGGGCCAGTATGCTATCCAGGAGGGAGTTACAAAACTTCCAGGTGCCTCTTAATTCCGAAACATGGATAAATGTTCGCTCCTTCCCCTCTAAAAATGTAGCAGAGTTCTCTCATTGGAGAGAGAAGTGAGAGGAAGGAGAGAAGCAGGCCGCCGATGAATTCTCTTATGTAGCTGATGACCAGATTTGTGGTCCAAACTGACTGTTTTGCAAAACTGGTTTCATTTAATGTGGAATGCGCATGGCCGGTTGAGACTGTGCGTCAGAAATTTCTGAGCCCGAAGTTGTTATCGCACAAACCGCATCTGTAAGTTGCGTTGCATGTGACTAAAACGTTAATGGTTGTTAAGGAAACCCCCGAGTCTGCGTGATGTGGAAATGCATCATGGGCCGGCAGAGGTCTCTGTCTTAATTTCCTTTTTTTGGAGGGGTTTGGGGGGGCTATCGTGGCATCACAGCAGTATTCCGCTTTTTTGCTCTCTTCCTAATTTTCTCGAAGAACTCTTGCGAAAACGCAGCAGTAAACCACTTAATCTAACATATTAGTAATAATTGCAAATTAGGGGAGTGTGTTCGATGGCAAGGGGGTGGGGTGGGTAGTGAGTGGTAGTGGTAACGGGGTGCAAACCGTGATGAGCTTGTAAGATTGAGAAATCAAAGTCAAACACTTTTATCAATATGAATATCAGCAGCTGTCTTTATCAGTGTCATTGCTTATCCTCCCACTTTGCAATTCGTTACTATTTCAGTTTTTCTCGAAAAGGCGAGAGCGTCCTGTATTTTTTTACATTTACTTGGCTTGGCCTAGTTAAGTGCATTTAAGTAACAGCAGGTCAAACACTGCCTATAATCCTCAAGATATTCTTTTGTACTGTAAGATGTCATTAAAGTTGGCTAAAAATTGGGCTACAGAAGATGAAAGTAATCTGAAAAGTTCATTGACTGATTAAGGTGTCAAAGCGTCCTGTAAGACTTCAACCCTTGTTGCGTGACACTGCGCTAACACAACTCGCCTACTTTTTCAAATACAACGCATCCGGAATTAGTGAGATGACAAGGTCAACGTTTCACCGTACGACTTCTTGTATATTTTTCAAAAATGGTGACCAAAAAAAACCCTAATAAAACCATGAAATCGCATGGCATCCAGAACGCTAACCTCGGGATCCCCGGGGGACTCGAATAGTAACCTTTCTCCTTCGTCAAACGCAATAAGCCATTGTGTTTAAGGCTGCCGATAATGCTTGAATGTTTTAATGTAAATCTGTGTTTTTATTTATCTTTAGGTCCTTGGGATGATTTTCGCTCTTGTCTTGATCTGCAAGATTGGCAAAGATGGGACCTATGCTTGAAAAACTACTTTATTTGACTGTCTGATGAATCACAAGTATTAGGCAGGCTGAGCATTATATAAAGAACAATTAGTTTTGTCAATAGGCTCTCTTGTTTAAAGTAATGTGTTCCTTTTGTATGCCCTTAGTTTCACACTAGTTTATTACCTGTGACTTAAGCTTGGAATAGTTTTGTCATAATTAAATAAATTATGCGCGTGTCTCGTCAACCCTTTAAGCCCTAAGAGTGATCAGCATCAAACTTCTCCTTGTAATAACAATGCTTTGTAAAACAGAGTGGTCTTGAGAATTACGTACATGATCACACAAGATGAATTTGCATGATATTTTATCAACCTCTCCCCTCTACTTCTGTAGGAAATGAATAGGGGCTTCAAATGAGAATTCAAATTTTGATCTTAGGGTTTAAAGGGTTAACAGGTAGACAGCATTTGCCCACTTTGCTGGTCAAGGTTAATGAGACATGACCATAATTTAGTAGCCTTTCGTTGAGCCTCTGTATGGTTGTTTCGTAGGAAATCGTAGTCGGTTAAAGCGACGATCGAATTGCCTTTCCAATCAAGTTTGACAAAGTTAGTCGTGTGTGATGAAGGCAAAGAAATCTGCCAAAAAGTGTGCTGCACACGTCCGTTCAGAGTTTTTGTTTTGCTTATTTAATTTAATTTTTTTTTTCTCGATTCTGTCGTCGTTGTGGTTGCGCTAAGCTCGTTAGTAGGGTTACCACGCAAATCAATTCTTGACATGTGACGATCTCGCCTCAAAACCGACGATTTGGTGAAGACGAAATCGACGTCCTCAGGTACATGTACCCATACGGAGGCTCGTAGTTCATGCATCTTGGTATCTTCTGTTTATTTTATTTTATTTGTCCTTTAATTCCTAACCTCTGAATGAAGTTCGGTTACTCGGGAATAATTTGATCTTGGTATTAAAGGAGATTTTAGTAACCATCTGCACAGTTTAAAGAAAAACTTTGCTTTTATCTCGATGCACGTGCAGATGACCCGTTTTACGTTCAAATATACCCATTTAATCAGCGATGCTTGCAGACAATAATTATCTTACCCAGTCAAATTTGTCGAATTCCGAGAGGGGACAAGACACTTTAATTTGTAATCGTGCTTTAATAGGTTAAACAATAACGTATTTAGTATTTCTATATTATCTTGGGGTAAAGTTAATATCAGGAGCTCTCACTTCATTAACCATAGAGTGTAGATGATGAAGTTGTGACATTTTTATTCAATTTTTCTAACTGGATTTGTATAGTCAAGGGTAATTTGAGCTGGATTTATAATAAAAGACTAATTGTAAGCCTTTTTGCACTGGATCTATTAAGTCATTAAAATTAGAAGGGTTTTTTTAAACGTTAGCCTGCGTAGCAGGCGCTTGGCCTGGAAGTAGTAGTGGGCGCAAGAAAAAACGGGTGTGCGAGAAGGAGACACGCGAGGGGAGAGGGAGCTCCCTCATTCCTCGCGTGTCCCCCTCGCGCGCGTCCGTTCTCTCTTGCGTTCACTACTTCCAAGCGCCTGCTACGCAGGCTATTTAAACGTTCGTGTCCATTCCTTAAACTGGTATTCTTTATGTGTAAGGGCACCTGATGGGATGTCTTCTCAATATACATACCTGCAGACAGGGAAAAGTCTGAATTAGGCCCGTTTCGAGGGAGATGACCAGCCTAGTCGGGTTTTTGGAGATGGTAAGGTCAGCCCTCTATCCCGGCCAACTTTTCTCCATCTGAACACTTTGGCTCTCCCAACCGGCTGTACTCGGTGAAGACAAGGCAATCAGAGCATGCGTTGCGCGAGCGCCGTTGCTACAACCCCGGACAAAACCTGTTGAGACAAATCGCGAAAATGCCTATTTTTTCCTGTCATCACGGCAAAAACTGAAACCTCCGCCAAATGAATGCCCGATTTCCCCCCTCCCCTTATCCAAAGTTGTTTAGGATAGCATGGCAATTATACACGTTGGTTTTTAGACCAAGACAACTTTGAATAGGGGGTGGGGAGGGGGTTTACTTTTTGTGTTTAGGGGAGACAGGAGTAGGGCGCAAAAGTTAGAAAATAGGTGGAATTGTCTGAACAGTTTTATTTGGGGTTGTAGCTCTTGGTTCGGGCAATGATGTCTTATAAGCGCTCGCTTAAGTTGACTCTGCTGGGAGGATGACCCCCCTTTCCCAAGACAACTTGTCCCTTCTAGCCAAGCCAATCATAATACGTGTCTGGGAAACTGCCCACCTACCCCTCACCTAAGCCAACATTTTGCGCTAAGTGAGAAGTAAGTGCTAATGTTGGCTTAGGGAAGGGGTAGGTGGGCAGTTTCGCAGAAATGTATAATGATGCGCCAATGTTAACGGTGCGCCAAGTTTTAATTGGAAAGAAACGTAGGAAATGTTGACTCGTTCATGGTAGCTCGGATAGGCAAGTGACCCCCTTCACGAGGGCCTGAGTGGGGTGGTAGCTTTGACGGTTGACGGTTAATTTTTCCAATTTTGACGGTTGACGGTTATTAAGTAGAAATTTAGCCCAAGAATTAAAGCAAATATGAATTTCTGTATAACTCAATATTAACTTTCGGGTCTTGAAGGTTGTCTTGGCCTTTCGCTTTTAAGATTTCGAAATATTTTCAGATATAAGCAAGTTGTAAGTCTAGAGAGTGTGTTTTTTTGGACAACATGGAAACTGACTTTTTCAGTTTAGAGATCCCTCAGGAGCCCTAAGTCCGTGAAGATCAGCTGGAATAGTGAAATTTGAGATCCCTTATGACTTTTTGACGGTTAATATTAATCTGCATTTATGACGGTTGACGGTAAAATATAACTTTTTTTTGAAGGTTGACGTTAAAATTTTAGGTCGTTTGACGGCTGGCGGTTTACACTGGGGTGGGGGACCCCAGGTAGGTGAGGTAACCCGGTTAGGTGGGGTTACCTCACCTACCTCCTTACCTCCTCTACCTGGAACAAGTTTTCTCGGGGCCTTAGGGCCTGTTTACACGGGGTGGGGCACCCCAGGTAGGTGAGGTAACCCGCTTTTCCATATAATCTCTCATTTTAATTTGATCACGTTTACATGAGAGGTGGTTGACCCCGCCACATGTTACCTCACCTACCTGGAGTCCCCCACCTCCATGTAAACAGGCCCTAAGAAGAGAGGCCCTTTAAGAGGGATGAGAGGAACCTTTGTCCCAAGTGTGAATTTTAAAACCACTTGTTTCACGTATTGAGAAGATGGTTTTCTTGTCCGATATTTTACGTTTATATTTGTCTCTGTTTTGTTTGTCGCCTTTTCCCCTAGCCATGTCGCTTGTCGGCATTCACCTCAAAAGGGCCGCCTCAGAACAGCGTACCCCTTGAGCTTGCGGTCCTCCGGGAACGAACATTTTTAGCGTATAGCGTGCGTACATGGAAAGGCCGGTCATTCTTGCAAATTTACAAAAAGCCGACCTTTCCTTTTCTCTCGCTCTCTCCCTGATCTGTACGGGTGAAACGTTCTGAGGTACTGAGTGATGACGTCACAGTTATAGTTGAGATCAAAGAATGCGAGGGGACGGGTTTTTCGTCAAGTAAGCATAGATTTTCACAACCTGTTTCAATTTATGGGAGGAAAGAAAAAATGGTGCCCTCGTAATCCTTACGCGAGTGGTATTTTCTATGAAGGCTCGGCACTCTGTTGTACAGCCATTGAATGCTACTGGTTGTCTGTGTTTGGTCACTATACTTTGCATCTACTGGCAAATCGGGCATAAAATCGCTGCAAACTGTGCAACAAGAAAATTCCAACAGTGTAACTTGAACCCTAGAAGCTGCATCACTAAACAACGTTGCCTATAGCCTGCGTAGCAAGCGTTTCTGTGCGGTCTATGAGCAAAGAAAGAGGAACGAGAGTCAACGACCGCGCGAAAAATGGCCCAAGTAAAAGAGCGGGAAGGTTTCCTTCCTTCCCCTCCCCCTCCCCTCTCTTTCATTTTTTAGCTGTCGTTCCATTTCTCGCGCGGTAAAAGCCAAAAATCCCCCTCCTCGGTCTTTTGTGCTCCGAAACCAAATGGAAACGCTTGCTACGCAGGCTACGTTGCCTATTCTTCTTAAACATGAGGATAATTAATGTCATTCGCCAACTGAGTAAACGCAAACGTAGACAGATACAACTTTAATTTTCAGGAAATTGTAATTGAACTGTACATTAGTTTTGTTTACGGAAGTATGATGTAACTTTATATAATTCGCGACCACTTCGCGTGACATGAAAGAATTTAAAATTCATGACATCATCCACGTGCACTCATAATCGCTCTATATAAAACATTACAAAATGTGTTTAAATATAGAGAGAAGCGCATGGTTTCAAAGCTGTAAAAGCGAAGTTGTAAAATCTTAAGCAAGTTTAAAAGTTTTAGGTTGACAGAATCGATCCTTTGGGGGTCAAATAAATCCTAGGGGTTTAATTCCAATTTTCCGACCAGCATAGCCTTCGGGTTCCCCTCCCGCCGCGCCTTTAAGGGCCCTCATTTTCTTCTAATAGCGTGACTGTGAAAATAGCGTAAAATAGCTCGACCATAACGACATTTGCGTGATCTGTCTTAGTCAGACGCCAATATTATCGGTCAGGTGATGGCTTTAGATCAATTTCGAGCAGTTCCGCTTTAGACAATCACTTTCTCTTCTTCATCGTGCTACCTTATGTTTTATTAAATCGAAGTTCCTTGGATTAATTTTGGGTAAGGTGAGTAATTTTACACTGGTTATTCAGCTTGACATACCCATAGATAAATCCAGGATAATTATTTTGTCGAAGTTCCACTCGTACACCACACATTACCGTTTAAAGAATTTGATGGCCTCGGTACACAGAACTATCGCCACTGTCTTGAGTACATGTAGGATGCATGGTGTAGAATTTATGGTGATGAAAAGAGTTTACTTGTTATGACCATCTGGTTCTTTTAAACCTTTATTATTTTCTCGTAAGCATCGGAAATGTCTACATTTGCGGGTACACTTCCTTGTACGTTTCTGCGCGATCATGGTCGCTATTTCGTTAAAAATACGCTCATTAAAGGGGTTGTTAGCACTGATTCCCTAGCCTGAATAATACGCCGATCACGGTGGGTCATTCGTCGTCCAAAATCAAAACGAATGAGTGTTTCATATTTGAAACAGGAATCAAACATCAAACGAATGTTCATTTGCAAATGACTTGTGTTCTTTAATGTCTGGGTCATCATTCATAGCGGGGATTCATCGCTTTCTGCGCCAAAGTAAAACCTTATCAATCCTAACTGTGCCCAACTTAATAATTCAGGAAGACAAAAAAATTTCTTTTTTTTCTTTCTAAGGGGTAAACATTCTGCGAAAAAAGACGGCAAAAGAGGGGGAGGTTTCATTTGAACTAGACGTCACCAAAATTCAGACTAAGAAACCATCACTTCTTCTGAGTTTCTACTTTCATGTGATACTAGAGCACCTTAAAACTGTTATACAAAAAAAATTTCGCTTCAAAAGGGTTCTTTGGTTTGCGATACAGGACGCTTGAATCTCCAGGCTTTTGAGTGACGCGGCATTTAGCTCGCGGCCCGGAAAGTTCTTATGTGGGTTAAAAACATTACGGAATTTTGGAGATTTTGCTATCTAAACATTCCTTGTCTTAGAATGAATATTACTTTAATCTTTATGAGTTCCTCAAGCGAAGAATTCGCGTATAAGTAGGAAAACTCAAAAACAGATGTTTCTGTTGGTTTCCGCCGGCCATATTTGTGCCCTTGGAAGGGACACAAACATGGCGTCTCCATACAAAGCTTTATAAATTTGGGTAAAACGTTTTTCCGAATATCTCGCATATGAACAATTGCATAGATCTGATTCTTGGCAAAGTACATTTATCTTCTTTGATTTCCTAGATTCTAGACTTTCTGATTGAAAGGTTTCCATTTTTATTTCTGCTTTCTCACTTGAGTGAAAACCGAGAATTTCCGGTCGTCTCTCGTTACTTTTTGGTGATCAGATATAGTGGAGAGCTTTTTTAAAGCAGCAGACGTTCTTGAGGTCACGGACGTCAGGAAGGTTGTGCCCGGTCTGGATCGCGCGAGTAAGGCGTTTCTGGTGCGAAAAAGCGACGATTTACAGCTGATTTCAGTGCTGTGTATATGTTGTGGTTCAATTTTATCCTTGGTTCAAATTTTCTTTTCTTTTGTTTCAAACTCTTCATCATGTTATTATCATACATTACCATACCCAAAAACAAAAGAAAAGAAAATTTGAACCAAGGATAAAATTGAACCACAACATATACACCCTGATTTTTAGACATGATTCGACCGAGAGGTTACCAAGCAGTACAGTATTTTACCTTGAATATCCTTCAGGAATCAAAGCACACAATCTGAAAGTTACTTTAATAATAGCTTGAATGTTTTTCTTGTAATTCAGAAAAAGAAGACTGTGATCCATAATTTGTTCTCCTTTTCAGTCAACAGCCTCTCATGCAAGTTATGCAATCTAATCGCAATACATGTTATAGGGCGTGTGGACTTCTCGATCAATTGGTAGTCTTTACACTAGAGCCTAAATAAGCTAAGAAATATTTCAAGACAAGTAAATTTTAATTACTTCAAGTAAAATGAAGCTTCACACACAACTGATTCTTTTTTACTTCAGGTTAACTAAGGTCATTTTCCCACGCAACATAATTAAGATTGATTGGCATGTTTTGCCTTTCTCAAAGCTCAAGAAACTGTAAGTCAGCTAAAAAAGGGATGGTTTTCAAGTCGCTTGAAACTTTCTTGAATCGTTTCAACTTTCCGACTTTAATTTAATGAGATACAAAGTAAAGTTACTTGAGATTTTACTTAGGTCTTCACACACTAATTTTTGGCTAAGAAAAACTTAGCAGCTCTTAACGCCTTGCTTAACAGCCTAGTGTAAAGACAAACAATACCCTCTTTCAAAAAAAAACAAATGTGCTTTCTTTTATGTACGGTTTTCTTTATTTGTGCTCACTAGGGGCATAGGTCGAGGACCGAACATTGTGATATTTTTCAATGGTTGACAAAACAAAACTTTCAAACTCTCCAGCAAATACTTTCACAACGGCAGACTGATCAATTTATCTGTTGATTTCTTCAGCAAAACGTCAAGTTTTCCTGTTATTTTTTAACCGTGCAGAAGCTAAGTAAGGACAAAAAAGTACCAGCTTGAAGAAATACAAATTTTCCTCCCTGTTAACTAAATTTGCATCACTGTTACATGTAAATTGCAGGTGGTATTCACCAACTGTAAAGTACCGAAACCTTGTCATACGGAAGAAGACTAAACGATAAACCATCGGACTATTTAGCTTTTCGCCGTATTGATAATATTTCGTCCATTATGAAATCGCCTACATAAATACATTCGAACTCGGCAATCGAACTCCAGGTTTATCACCTGATCACATGTTATCATAATTTCTGTATCATGTCGCTGCTTTCCAGGCAACAAAGCTTTCCTCTTCAGATAAAACGCATTTGTCGGGATTCTAGCTTCGTTACACTTATGTCCTTTAGTGCTAAGCTTTCCTTGCCAGCCAGATTTTTCTCTCACTGTTTCGGATCCCACGGCAGAACTCTCAATTATTTTAGCAACCGTTTACGTACTGCGAAGCGATACGTCACGTGATTAGTGTCGAATCATGACAGCTCCAATCATGACCGTCGAATCATGTCTGAAAATCAGGGTGTATACATAGCAATGAAATCAGCTAAAAAAAGCAATGAATGGTTTTTGTATAACGCGAGTCATGGACGTCTTGTCTGTGTTTACTTTTAGTTATTTGAAATGTCTTCACTCATGACGTAGCATTTCGAATTTCAGAAAGATTTTTGTCGCTGAAGGGAACTCGTACATTTTCTTTGTCCCATTCTCAAATGAACATTTCACCTTTCACGTTTATTCGCCAAGCTTTGATTGTGTGGACACTAATCGAGCGAGCAAAAATTACCATACATGACCGCGAAGTTTGGCGGTCCATTTTATTTCCAGTTTCATTAACCACAAATGAGATGTAGTTTGCTATTCATTTTCAAACTCGATTGCACCAAATATCAGTAGCCTGCGATCCGCAGACACATTTCCGGTCGTCGCTTCACGACCGGAAATGCGTCTGCTGTTCGCAGGTTAAAAAAAGTTGTCAGGATATAAATAATCAACCCAATGCACAAAAACACGCAGTCATAACATTTTAATTCAATATTTTTCATTGTAAACAAATTATCAAATCAAACAGTCGAAATTATCGGCCCTTGAAGTTACAAGAAGATAAAGCTCGCTTAAATAAGATGTGCGTTCACTTGACGATGATTCGTATGGACTAAAACTGAGTAAATCTTACAGGGCTGTCAACTCTCCCGGATAATCCGGGAGACTCCAGATTTAAAACCGTTTCTCCGGGTCTCCAGATTAGAGTCTCAAATCTCCCGGATAATCGCCGAAGTTTGCCATTTCTTGTAGATTCGACTCTCTGACTATGAAATTTCAAATATTTTTCGTTATTTGAGCTATTTTTCTGTTAACACTGAACGTTTCCTCACAAACTCCGGTATGCCATTGTAATATAACCAATAATTTGTGATTGGTGGGAAGTAAACCAATGTTACAATTCCAACAACATCTTTTTCGCGCGTTTTTCCCCCCGAAAATGACGTCATGTGACCTGCATTATGACGTCATCTTTCACCCACTCCCCATCAAGTCGCAATGTTTGAAGACGTGGGGGATTGACCGCTCTGATCTTACGTAAATCCCGTAAATCTTGCCACTTTCGAGTTCTGCAGCCAGCCTGAGCTAGCCGGATCAACCTGTCGAGTCCAAAAATAGAGTTAGAAACTGTTAACCTGATGATTACATCTCTGAAAACACCGAAAAATAGCAGAAGGATTTTCCCTTGGTTGTAGGCCAACAATTTAGGAATTATTCTTCTTCCCAAACGCGAACTTTCGAATACTAGAATTTCGCGTTCTATCTTGAACTTCAAAAGTGGCGTTCTGGCGTCGACAACCTGACCTCGCGGACGTAAACACATGCGCAGTACATTCACACTAGCGCGAGTGACTTCCGGTCGGCGTTCGTGACCTCAAGAACGTCTGCTCCTTAAGCTCTCTAGTAAAGCAAGGTAGCCTCCCACGCAGACGTTCTTAGAGGTTCGTACCCCTAAGAACGTCTGCTTGGGAGGCTAGAAGCGAGGCGACGACCGGAAATACGTTAGGCCTCCCACGCAGACGTGCGTTCTTTGGGCTTCGTCACCAGTTCACAACGTCTCGGGGGGTGCCACAAAAATGGTACACAGGGAGGCTCCACCCCGAGGTTCGACCCCTTAATTACCCTTTTATATACCGTTTTTGACAGAAAAGTTCCCCCTTTCGTATACCTTCTATTGATAAATGATACCCCTGTCACACACCAAGTATAGAACTTGGCATCTCTTTCAACAACTGTAAATGCATTGTCTTTAACATATCATGAATAAATCACAAAACTAGAACGTTTTCTCAACTTTTTCACTGCCTTATTTAAAATGCACCTGTTGGTCCTTTTGAGCCTTTTTACCGACGAAATGACATATTTCCCTACACATTCATATACTTCAACAAGTGAAATCCATAACATTTCATTTACCTGAAGGCTGAAAAAGGTAACTCTTTCGGGAGGAACCCCCCCTCCTCCCGTATATGCCATTATAGGGAGTAACCTCCCCCCCCCGGGGGGGGGGGGGGGGTGGCGGGGGCCCACAATTACAAGGTCCCCAGGTACAAATGAAAATGAAGGGGCACCTCACCATAACTCAGTCTAGGAGGGAAAGGGTTAAGGTGCTAAAAGAAATTTTAGGTTAACGTTTTTAAGAACAAGTTAAAAGGCAAAAATTCGGTGGGCCGGTTCTACCTTAACAACAATGGTTTAGTTCTTTAAGAATTTTTGTTTTTTTGAGGTTTTCACAGTTAACCAAAAAAACCCCCCCCCTTTACCCCTGTTCCCCCCCCCCCCCCCCCCCCCCCCCCCCCCCCTCCCACCACCCCCCAACTCTTGACCCTTAAAATCAAATAAAAGAACCTGGCCTCTATCAGATCATTATTGGTACTATCGTAGAAACACATTGCTGATTGAGCTAGGTCCCTGGCAGGCAAGTTGTGTTTGAAGCCCAGACGCAGTCGTTTATCTATCAGCGCAAAACTATAGCTACTTACCTAGCGTCCCGTATTAAACTTAGGTTATCATTAGATACGGCTTGCTTTTCATAATCATTTTATGGAATAACTGTGTTACATAATCAGCGGTGATTCTTAGCATTTTCAAAATGATAAGTAACTAATCTTGGTTTTGGCCTGACGAGAAAACAAGCTAATAGGCAATATCTCTTACTAGGATTATAAGTTGGTCATGGAATACTCGCAAGAGCAACTAAACTACTTCAGACTCTGCTACATAGCATTTGATTTAGTTCCAGTGGGACTGCGGCACATTTTCAAAAACGAATGGGATTTCCTTTATAAAGCAACGTTAACTGGAGAATGGAAAGACACCGCACAAAATGGACATGATTTTTACAACAAAGAATCTAAAGCAAGTCGCAAGAAAAACGCCCGATCGCTGGCAATAATCTACAATGGTGACATGGCAGAGTGGGACTGTACCTGTTTGTTTTTTGCCATTCTGTACTCGGACAGCATTGGTAACACCTTAAGCCCAGCTGTCCGTAAGGAGGTCGATGATATTCGTCAATTGCGAAACGAGGTCGCTCATATCACTGAGGCTAAGTTGACAGATGCCGACTTCCAAACTTCTGTAGACAGAGTGTTGAACGCTTTTACATCCCTTGGTCTGGTTATAACTGAGATTCAAGAAATAAAGAACCAGAAGACCTTTCCGACGAAGGAAGTGGAAAAAATAAGGAATCCCCCACGCACCTCTTCCGGTCTTTCATTTACCGGTAGGGATAAAAAGGTAACCTTTGCGGGAGGCACCCCCCCCCCCCCCGTAATGGCCATTATGGGGGGTAACCCCCCCCCCCCGGGGGGGGGGGGGGTGGGGTGGCGTGGGCACACAATTACAAGGTCCACAGGTACAAATGAAAATGATGGGTCATCTCACCATAACTCAGTCTAGGAGTGAAAGGGTTAAGGTGCTAAGAGAAATTTTCGTGTACCGTTTTTAAGACCAATGTCAGTGGCAAGAAAATCAATGAACTTGCAGAGAACTTTGTATAACCCGCTTTGTTCTCTTTTGCTATGTGATCGTCATCTCCCCCTGCACTCTACAGCTGCCTATGGGACGGTGGTGCGCCCGTCGCCCGCCTCCCCCTCCCCACCAATCTCGACTCGAGAACCTTTTTTTTTCAGCCGCGCAAAGAAACGACTACTGGGCCCGGTTGCATAAAACCTGCTCTTAAGTGTTCACTTAAGTAGGTCACTTACGAATCCGTTATGGGTACACTTACGGATGTTGCATTAAACTCACTTAGCACTCTCGTAAGTTTCTGTTTTACGTGGTAACTTACGGGCTCACTTAAGGGCACACGTAACCTTGATATAGTACTTTATTAATGATTCACTCTTTTTTTTTAAGCTAACCATCGGTGAGTGTAAAGAAAGTTAAAAGTCGTTTCGCACACTTTTAAGTCTCTCAAAAAATGAAATTTGCATGTAAAAGCACAGGTAGCCCAAGCTCGAAATATGGGCATCGGCGAGCATCGGCATTGTTGCGTAACATTCAAAATATAAGGATATGTATGGGAAAAAAACCTATCGTTTCTGTAACCTACGAAAATGAAAGGATTTCAATAAAAACCAGCTTACCTTACTTAAAATGTGTGTTACGTCTCTCCTGTGGGTCCACGGGCCGATTTACGCCGTTTTATGGGTTTTAATGTAAACGGTTTTCTCTCTATATAAAGGTTTAGAGAAAAGAAAAAAACGGTTACATAAAAACCCATAAAACGGCCATAAATCGGCCCGTGGACCACACAGGAGAGATGTAACACACATTTTAAGTAAGGTAAGCTGTTTTTTATTGAAATCCTTTCATTTTCGTAGGTTACGGAAATGATAGGTTTTTTTCCCATACAAATCCTTATATTTTGAATGTTACGCAACAATGCCGATGCTCGCCGATGCTCATATTTCCAGCTTGGACTACCAGTGGCAAAAGTTATTTTTCTTCAGCATCTACTGAAAATGATAGTTCTTCTTCTTTTTTGACAAAGTCGGCCTTTAAGTGTACATCAGAGGTTAACAAAGTGCATTAGAACGAATAACGTGAAGAAAAAGACTTTTTTTCACTTCTCAGTAAAAGATCTCGTTAACTTTAGTAAAAACGGTAACGATGCGGAACCTACATAGGTCCCGTAAATTTACGTGCTATTTTTCCCGTAAAAAAAGTTTTATGCAACACCCGCAAATTCTGTTGCATAAACGACACTTGAGTGAACACTTGCGAAAATCGTAAGTGCACCAACTTAAGTGAATTCCCTAAGTGGACCACTGATTTCACGCAACTTTTGACTTAAGTTACGAGTGCACGTACAACCGGGCCCTGGAGTCCACAGAGCTTGCATATCGAAAAGAGCACACTTCTAGACAAACAAGTTTACTCTCTTTCCTGCTTCTTATCCTTCTTCTACTTTACTTTTATATTCTTCTAGGATATCTGTTACCCTCAATTTGTCATCGAAACGAAGCACTGTTCGAAAAGGCCAAGAACTCTTAAAATTTGTGCACTGATCAAAATAAAGTAAATCGTCACTATTAAACTCCCCCTGTCTAACAAATGCCTTCCCATGACCGTTACTCCACAATACTCGGGAATAGCGAAATAGAGCAAAATCATTCAATTCACCGGTATTTGGTTTATTGCTTGATTGACAATGGTTCGCACATTGCATCTTGTTTAATGCCAAGTTCAAAGTAAGGAAAGTGCTCTTTGATATTCTTGATGTGTTCAATACACCAGCAACTTTCGTCGGGCCGGTTCTACCTTGACAGCAAAGTATTAGTTCTTGAAGCATATTAGTTGTGTTGAGGTTTTCACAGTTATCAGAATAAACGCCACCCATTTACACATGTTCCGCTCCCTCAACCACCGCCCCCCCCCCCCCCCCCCCCCCCCCCCCCCCCCCCCCCTCAAAACCAACAAAAAAACCCCACCCCCCCCCACCCCATCTTTTTAATCTCCTAGAAAAAAACATACGCTTGATATCAGGTCCACGGGCACGATGTTGTGTTGAAGGCCATACGCTAACCTCTTT